GTCTGGAACCTCCCCCGCGGCCACTCCTGGGAGTGCACAACTCCAGTTGTTGTGCCTACAGGTTCATCGGAATGTGCAAGCCCCCTCACCACAACAAGGTGACAGTCCATCGAGGGGGAAGTATCTTATCCCAGTTTGATCATGCTTTTTGTAGGTGGGGATTAAACCGTGGTTTCTGGGTTAGGATGGCATGGAAAAGTGTGGCTTGGCAAACCCAGACGCTTTCCATTTTGGTTCAGAGAAGAAGACAAATTGTGTGGGCAAGCTTTGTGGTTTGTTACTTTAATATCATGGCTTCTGAGCAAGTCTGTGTCAGCATTATGTCAATATCACTTTACTTCTTAGAAAACCAAAGATACTAGGAAGGAGATCTGTGCAATGAACTGTGTGATGGATTCGCTCTGTAGACTGGTCCTGTAATTCCAACTCTGGGATCCTGTGGTTGTTTGCTCCTTTTCCTCTCAAGATTCCTCCTTGAACTTGGGCTGTCAAGTGGTTCCTATATGGATAAGTTAATGTATTGTTCTGTGGATTTGTGGTGGGAATCATCATCAGATTGTCTGTCAAAACTTAACAGCTAGACATAGTTGTAAAAAAGAATAAACAGATACAAGTTTATTAGGACACTTTTAGATCACACATCAACCCCTGAATTATTTAATCATTCACAGCTCCTCAAACCCTATTAAGTTCTTCCTCCTGGTTGGCAGGTCTATCTCTATTATGCTTTTTTCCTGCCTCTATCTTCTGTCAGAGATATGCCTCAATTTATACCCTTTCTCTCCCCCTGTCCTTCGCACCACTCTAACCAGATTTGCCCAACTTTTCCATTCTGTCAATATGTCGCAATCATAGCAGGAATCTTCAGGAATATCTAGCAACCATAGCAGGACATGGTTACAGTTGCTTTTTTAATGGCAGTATATCTGCATCACAGGGCAACTTTATTTGTGTGTATATAGTTTTTGTTTTAGAAAGCAATTCAGTTTGGAGACGATTTCATTCACTCACAACTAACCTGATGGTAATTTGAACTGCAACTCCATGGCAAGCACAGCTACTTTTAATTGTGAATTAGATTACAGGGTATGTTATTCGTGTCATATATACAGTTTGGCTTTTATTTCTGGGGTTGAAAAACATCCTTGTTACTGTTAATCGCACTAGGTGTGTGTGTTTGTTCAAAAAGTTATTCATTAGACCATTTTGCATGTTGTGTTTTGGATTTATGCTTCTATAGACGGAAACATGTCTGAGATGGTCATAGGCAGTGGTCGGAATCCTTGGACTTCTTTTGGAGACCAGTTCCTTGCAGTTGAATTCCCAGAATACCAAATGATAAAGTAGTGTGGAAAACTAAAGTTCCTCACCCCTCTGATACAAGAATAGCAACACATCGAGGTATTCCATTTGAATTAAGTTTGGGCATAGGTTAGCCATGGGGGACACAAGAACCTCCTGCTAGGTGTTCCCATGGCCAAGATTCCCTCCATATTTCCTGGATCATCCTTTTCCTGGCCAACCTTCTCCTCCACCCTCCAAAAAACTCCAACAGTGAACTGCTCCTTTTGAAAGCCTCAAGGAGCAGCAATTCACCTTTCTGATTGCTTGCAACTCCAGCTCTGCAAAAAATACATTTTTTTCTAAACTAGATGTGGATTGTCAAAGGCTTTCATGGCTGGAATCACTGGAGTATTGTGTAGTTTCTAGGCTGTATGGATCTGATCCTCTGAAGATTCCAGCCACAGATGCAGGCAAAACATCAGGAGAAAATGCTGCTAGAACACGGCCATACATCCTGGAAACCACACAACACTCTAAATGTGGATTTCTGACCACATTGAGTTTTGTCTCCTCTCCTTTCCATTTTTTTACAGTCTTTATGACCCCAAATGGCCCCTCTTTTCCTTGTGTGTAGAACTTGTGTGTAGAACTAGTCAATCTTCTGGGATCCAACGTCTTCAAGAGTTGGGATGTGGACTGTTTATCTTGTTGTGTCAACTCTGTAAATGCCAGATGGAATGTCTGGAGCTCAACAGGGCATGGACCACGCCTGCCTGCCTGGCTTTCTTGTTTGTTCACACTCTTATTCTAAAAGCTGCAGGTGTGCCATAATCACCGGAAGACCTATGTTTATCTCTTAGGCATTGTAGTTGGGATTTGTTGGTGCATTCTGTTCAACCTAATTTCCTCAAGCAAATGTTGAGGTTAGAAAAGTTTGCTGACATGTTTTTAATTACCAACAGTTGGCTTCGACTTGTAGTAACCCTGAACCAGAGCCCTCCAAAAGACTTGACTTTTTAACAGCTCTGTCATGTTCTTGCAAACTCAGGGACATACCTTCTTTTACGGAGCAAGTACATTTGCAGTAAAGTCACCCTCTTTTTTTTCTACGTTCCGGTTTGCTAAATATTGGTTTTTTTTTTCTAGAAAGTCACATCTTGTCATGATACATCCAACAGAGAGAGTTTGAGTGGGGCTTGCTCCCACATGTATTTATTTGTCTACTTGGCTCTCCATGGTATCCATCAAAATCTTCCCTAGAATCACATTGGGATGTGTTTATTTTATTTTTTATTTTATTGTGTTGTAATTTAATCTATGTTTGTCTGGTCTCGTCCACATGTAAGCTGCCCCGAGCCCCTTCGGGGAAATGGAGGCGAGGTATAAAAATAAAGTTTATTATTATTATTATTATTATTATTATTATTATTATCATTATCATTATCATTATTATTATTATTTCAAATTAGCTGACTCTTTCTCTATGAGAAAACTAGGAATGACAAATTAGGGCAAAAGCACAAGTTCTATCTGACATGTCTGCTATTATCCAAATAGCATTTTCTGTACTGATCGGTTTTGTAAGTGATATACTAAAATGCTATTTAGAAATAATCATCCGATATTAGCAGCAATGACATGATAACGTGGCTTTCTGACTAACATGATCTTGTTTTCTCTTTAAACATGCATATGTTTGCATAAAGGTTATATATGATAATAAATTTATATATTTCAATTTAAGTTTGCTGTATATATTGATGTATTTGCTATTTTGAAGATAGAATTAATTGATTTAATTGGTGTTGAGAAGATTTGTAATTATTGTAGAAATTATAAGAAAGTGATGCTTCTCAATAAAGTCAGTGCAGCCAAGCTGAAGGCAGTAAAAGCCTTTTTAAAAAATGAACAGTGTAGTGTACAAATTGCAGTTGAAATATGCATCATATAAATTAGTGTGAATTCACATTTGGTATTTTACTGTGCTTTGTAGAAGAATGCTTCATAGAAGCTGCTGTAGATTTAATTCAAAACCATGTTAACTAAAATGCTGAATTTTAGTTCCTTTGTTGTCATTTTCTAGATGTACTTGAGGTCCATAGGATAATGGGGCTCACATATATGAAGGATGTCACAGTTTTGGGAAACCATTTATGGAAATCTAAGTAGGTGGTAGGTTTCATTCAGTGTGAACACTGAACTTTAGCAAAAAAAAGAAAAGAAAAGCTATGATATAAAAAAACCCGGTTACATTAAACTGACCTATTATAGCAGAAATGAGCTACAGAGAGTAGATGTAGAAAGCATTCCTTTATTTGGGGACTTCCAGAATCTCAATTGGCTGGAAGATCTGGCAAAAATAGGTCAGGCTTTAACACAGCAGGCTAACCACCAGCTGATTACATCTTGCCACCCAAAAGGTTGACAGCTCAAAGCCCAGATCAGGGTGAGCTCCTGGCCTTTAACCCAGCTTCCTAGCAGTTTTGAAAACAGCAATGTGAATAGTAGATAAATTGATACCTCTTAAGTAGGGAGGTATTTAAGGTACCCATCAACAAATGCCAAAAAATGGAGGAGGAAGTTTATGATCAAAGCTCTTTGGCAGGGAAAGTATAGCAACAGCATCCCCCCTCATATGGCTGGAACCAAGCATAACCTCCAAAATCCCAAAGATGGGAAAGCCTGTATATACCTCTATCTATGTACAGTTGTTTGTCTTGTCAGTGTGTAACATCATTGAATGTTTGCTGTATATGTGTTCTGTGAATCTGCTTCGGGATGAGAAGGACATGGAATATAACTAGAATGTCAAACTTGCATGCTTTTTCTTTAGATCCAGTCCTTTGATTCTGATGGTGATGAAGAAATTTCCTAATTGGAAGCAAAATTCATAGATAAAGGATAATCTTACTCCTTCTAAAAATATGGCATATGATCTTGCTTTTGGAGAAAAATTCCCAGAGTTTGGGACAGCTTCACTTGGGATTTTTTTTCAGTCTATCCCAACTCCCAGAATCCCCTAGTTATGGATAAATATTCTAACCAGGGAATTCTGGGATGCAGCCTGAAAAAGTAGTTCTTTTGTTATCTAGTAATGGGAGCCCCCGGTGGTGCAGTGGGTTAAAGCACTGAGCTGCTGAGCTTGTTGATCGAAAGGTCGCAGGTTCGATTCCGGGGAGCGGCGTGAGCTTCCGCTGTCAGCCCTAGCTTCTGCCAACCTAGCAGTTCGAAAACATGCAAATGTGAGTAGATCAATAGGTACCACTCCAGCGGGAAGGTAACGGCGCTCCATGCGGTCATGCCGGCCACATGACCTTGGAGGTGTCTACTGACAACACTGGCTCTTCGGCTTAGAAATGGATATGAGCACCACACCCCAGAGTCAGACATGACTGGACTTAATGTCAGGGGACTACCTTTACCTTTACCTTAATGGCTGCAGCAACAAATAAGAAGCTGCAATCATTTGAACCCTTATCTGGGGAAGACATCCACTGAACTTAGTGAAGTTTTCACCCGAGTAGACATGTGCACTTCTAACGGGTATGATCTTTCAGGAGTAATATACCTTTTCTCTTTCTAGAATGAAATGTGCCTGGCAACTCAACAGCTCTCCAAACAACTTCTTGCATATGAAAAACAGGTATGTATAACATTCTGTTTTGATCCAGAACCATTTCCAGGTTAGTTATGTTAGATGGTAGAGATGAAAATGTGGATCTACCCACATTCTTGAGATATTTGTTTGATTGTACTTCTAGAAGTGACAGTGGAATAGATTAATCTTGTCAGCCAACTTGGTCCCTCCAGATAGTGTTGAACTTCAACTCCCATCACCCTAGGCAATCAGAAGAAGATCTCTGCTGGCTAGGGATTATGGATGTTGTTCATTGATACTGCCTCTTGGGTTGAATAAATCTGGCTATTGGTACCAAAATTGTGCCCTGTAGTAAGTGTGTGTTCTCTTTAGATGAAAGTGTTGTACAGCATTTATATCTGACAATTTAGGTAATGTTTCCATCTAGTCATTTCTTACAGAATATGTCTCAACACAGTTGAAAACATAGAAAGTAGGAGTGAGAAGGAGATGGGAAGAGTGTGGAAAAGATTGGTGGGGAGTCAGAGAACCAATGCAACTCCATTGGGATACCTTGAATTCATAGCTTCTCACTAAGTCAGAGATAGCACTTGGTGTGACCCATAAGATAGTGTTGTATTGTATCACCAGAAGGCTTAGCCGTCATAGCCAGTGGAAAGAAGTACTGGGAAATGTTTAATGACAGATTTTTTTTGTGACCCTAAGGCAAACCTGTTACCATGACTCTACAATGAACCTACTATGGTGGCCCTAAGGTTGAATATTATTTTGTAGTTTTCTCAACAAAATTAGTTCAGAAAGACTTGGCTTTGCCTTCACTTGAGGCTGAGTGAGTGTTTCTTGCCCAAGGTGACCCAATGGGTTTCCATAGCTGAATGAAGATTCAAACCCTGGTTTCCTGGAGTCCAATCCAAAATGCAAACTACTACACCATGCTGGCTTTGAGGTAGAACCTGCCTGTGATCATTGTAATGCCAAGAGATAATTTTTTCTTAGTTTCTCAGCTGTACCTGTTACTGGCAGTGCCTATAAAGATCTATAGGAGCCACTGTAAACTGAGCTGCTCACCATTGTTTACCTTGCAGAATTTTGCCCTGGGTAAAGGAGATGAAGAGGTGATATCCACCCTGCAGTACTTTTCAAAAGTTGTGGATGAGGTAAGCTAAATTGCCACCAAGGGTTTACTAAAGATTCTTTGTTTCCCTTTGTCTCACTAAAGCTTAGCATCTCTGGATTGCCAAAAGTGCTGGAAAAAAAGAAAAAAGACCCGCTGGTTCTTTGGATAGTGCCATAGAAGAGGGCCAGTTATTCTGATGCCAAAATTGGAGAGAGAAATCAGACATGTCTGGAAGGGCCAAGTGTTCCATTTTAGCTGTTCTTGTCTACATTTCCTTAGAGGTCTTGTGGGAATCTAGACTTCCAGATTTATTGTGGTATCAGTTTGTGTGGTCTAGAGTCTACTGTATTTGATGTGTGAAATATTAATGTATTTTATTGCTGTTTGATTCCTATGGGAAATATTTTGTCTCTCTTCCCCATTAATTTGTGAATATGAGATATGCATCTGTCTAGTTTGGTGCATGATGTGAAAATATTTAGACCTTAAACTACAGTCTTAGGCCTTAATAATTTAAAAGCTCATCCTCTTTCTGCAACAGATTAACAAAAGTACCATGCTGTTGTTGCGTGTCTTCGTGTAATTTACTACTGTTTTCAACATCTCTACTTTCAAGGCCTACTTGAAATATGACCCAAAATACTTGTTTAAATTTTACACTATTTTAACTTCTTTAACTGGTTGTGGTGTTTTTCTTCTTGATATTTGGCCAATAATCCAAATTTAACAATAAAGCTGGTTATATGTCTCCCTTATCTGATATTTTGGTTTTTCTCAAACCTCTCTTAACTAGCATTTATCAGGATAGGGGCATGTTATCCTCTTGAGCTGTATTTTGTTGGAGAATCGACATAATACTAGTCTTGCAATATAAACATTTTTCAGAATTGACCCCTGCACTGTGTCTCCACAAATTGCAGCCACTTAACCAATCACAATTTTTCCTTAAAGCCCCCAAAGACTAATAAATTAAATATCATTACTTTTTAAGGTGTGAAACAGAGTATTATTTGAGAGGAACTGAGGTAGGCAGTTTTTACAAGATTTCTTAGCTCATCCCCACTCTCCAATCCAAGTACTCATGTATCTAAATACCCTTTAAGGGGAAAGCTCCACTGGCTGCCTGTTTGCTACCAAATACAATTCAAAGTGCTGGCTTTGGCCTATAAATCCCTAAACAGCCCCAGCCCAGTTTACCTGTCCAAACGTATCTCCCTTTACGAACCGCTATGAAGACTAAGATCTTCGGGGGAGGCCCTGCTCTTGGTCCTGCCACTATCACAGGCATGTTTGGCGAGGACGAGAGACAGGACCTTCTCAGTGATTGCCCCCCTGCTATGGAACTCCCTTCCTGGCAATATTATATCAGCCCTCTCCCTCCTGTCCTTCAGAAGGATGGTGAAGACCTGACTGTGGGACCAAGCCTTTGTGGTAGTTCAATGGGGCAATAATAGAATGGTGTCCTGAGATGGTTTTTAAGCAACGGATTTTAAAGTAGATATAAATGATTTTAATGTTTGTATATATTTATGGTTTTATGTCCCGGCATTGAATGTTTGTTCTGCCCTGAGTCCCCTGAGGGGTGAGAAAGGTGGAATATAAATGTTTCAAATAAATAACTAAATACATAAAACAAACTTCTCAATTCTTCTGTTTGTAAACCTACACTCATAATTGCCTCTTGATCGCTTCTCCATATCTTTGTTTATATCCCCACAATACCGCCAATAACAATTATTGGTGTAGGTTTTAAATTGAGTGCCTTGGAATGTATACGTTTCTCTTATAAAATCCTTAAAACAGCAGTTTTGTTATTGTTTTTAAGAGGAAGTGGGGGAAACAAATGAAAGTGGACAAGACACTGAAATGTGCAAAGTTAACTATAATAAAGATACTTTTTGTGTAAAGGCTCACTTTCAGTTAATTCTTTGACTATGGGAAGTGAAGATTTTCCACTCAGCCAACTTCACTGTCACCATCAACAAAGTCCTTATTATGTGTTAGGCCAAAAACTGATTTTGATGAAATGAGCCCCATCATTATTTTTTCTTATGAGATACAATTAATGCGGAAGTTGTAACTAGCAATCTCCAGCCAAACAAAATTCTTCTGTCAGAATTTACCAAATAAGAGAGGAAGGTCTGGATTTTAAGCATGTTCCAAATCTGATAAGCCTGTTCTGTTGAAGAGTTGTGGTGTCCCAGTTCCTTGTGAGGGTCCTAATTCCACATGAGGTCACTTTAAGAGCCAAAGCTTAGTGAACCATAGCCCAATTCGAATAGCTAGTCCCAACTAGAATAGCTTCATTGAACCAGTGGAATTTATATAATTTATTCATCATGCAACAATTCAATGAGGCTACTCTAGTTTGTGTTAGCAATTGGTTTTTGGCTGTTGTTTGTGTTTCTTTCTTACTTGAGTTGCCCTTCTGTCTTTCAGCTGAACGTTCTACATACTGAACTGGCCAAACAGCTTGCAGACACAATGGTTCTTCCCATCATCCAGTTTCGTGAAAAAGACCTTACAGGTGACTATTAACAAAGTTCTTCTCGTTTAAGATTTCTCCCCGTAATTAAGTCTTCAAAAGAAGAATTGTCATACACTTGGTTTTAAAATGATATGACATAGATGAAAGAGCTTGCTGTAAGGTCACAGCTTCCTGTTACAAAATGATGGATAAATATTTCAAAGTGGCAGTTCCCATAATGATGTGAATACTTCAGCAACTGTCCAAGGTGTTGGGGTTCAGCAGCAAGATGCTGGGGTTTCTGCCTCAGAGGATGATGGAAATGATGGATGTTTCACTGAGTCGGTGTGTGATCAAGCTGAGACTCAAACAGAATTGCAGGCCATAGACCAGAGAGAAGGGCTGGCAGCTGCAGAAGAGATAGCGTATGTTTAGGATTTCGCTTCCCTTGGAAATCAGCCTTCTCAGCCTGTCCAAGGTCCAAGGGATTTTGCTTCCTTTGGAAATCGGCCTTCTCGGCCTGTCCAAGGTGTTGGGGTTCAGCAGCAAGATACAGGGGATGCTGGGGATTCTGCCTCAGAGGATGATGGAAATGATGGATGTTTCACTGAGTCGGTGTGTGATCAGGCTGAGACTCAGACAGAATTGCAGCTGCAGAAGAGATAGAGTATGTTTGGGATTTAGCTTCCCTTGGAAATCGGCTTTCTCGGCCTTCAGAAGATGGGGAGTTTTCCCACAATATCAGATTAGGCCTCTGCACTGAGAGAGCAAAGAAAAGGTTAATCAGAAGGTTAGAAAGACTCAATGAGAAGCAGTCCGTGAAACCAAGGTGTCTAAGGGATGAGCACATGGTTCTTAGTCAGGTTTCAGCTTAAATTGGGTGATGTTTTCCTGGCCTCTTCAGAGCAGACAGTGTTGCCATAGAATCAAGTTCCTGGCTCAGCTCTCATTGTATGTAACCTGTGTCCTGTCTTTGCTTTGTTCCTTAAAGTGTTTTGCCTTGGAAAAAATTCCTGCTTATAGATTTATGTCTATGTCCAAGCTTATGGATTTTTGCCTATGTCCCAGACTTCCTGGATATCATGTACTTTACTTTTTGACTATTGATCACTATATCTATGAACTATTGCTATTTTATAGCACTATTTTTACTGATTTTCAGGAATTTTCCTTTCCCCCTTTTGTATAGGCTTTTTGTAAATAAACTACTGTAGTTAGATACTACTGTGGTGCTGGGTGGAAAGGTACTCTCAAGGCTAGAGTGCAACACAAGGTCTTCTATTCCTGCTCTCCACAGCACCAGTAAGGCCCAAATACCAGAACTCAAAGGGTTCTTCTTGAAGGCATCTAGCAAACTAAACACAATAGTTATATAGTTGGACTTCAAGAGGAAGACTGTGTTCAGAGTTTAATAAACAGATTTTGATAGCCCCTCCAAAGACAGTGATTCTTTATCCTAATGCACACATTCTTAGTCAGTTTTCTTCTTTTCTCCCCAGAAGTAAGTACGTTAAAGGATCTCTTCAGCCTCGCTAGCAATGGTATGTTTCATATTTTGTTTTTTGTTTGATTGGAATTTGCTGATGATGTGGCTGCATGATTGCTGAAGCTAAAATATGTCTTTGATACTTGACAGAACATGATGTCTCCATGGCAAAGTATAGCAGACTGCCCAAAAAAAGAGAGAATGAAAAGGTAAAATGTTTTTATATGTGCTTTTAATAACCATTAAGTTTTCATACCCAGCAGGAATGCTTCCATGTTAATATAGTGCCAGGGGAATGGAGAAAAGTTGAGGTCTCCTTGATATGAACATGTAAATACATAATGGTGCTGAATGGCTTAGCTGTGGATGCCAGGTGACAGGTGGAAATCAGAGGCAGGTACAATACACCAATCATTATTGACACTCAAGTCTCATTGTAACCGCTAGAAATGCTTAAATGGGCATTAAAATCATAGTGATTTGGGTTGGATTTCATTATCAGTCTTCCCCAAATATTATTTTTCCCAGATGGGTATTGTTTAATTGCCTGTTCCTTGCACTGTTGACTTTCCCCTTTGAAAAAAAACCTGTTTGCTATTATTTAGACATTGTTCTTTACAAACATTTTATCATTCAGCTAAAGGCAGATGTTGCAAAAGAAGTAGCCAATGCCAGGAGGAAGCAGCATCTGTCATCCTTGCAGTATTACTGTGCCTTGAATGCTTTACAGTACCGCAAGAGAATTGCCATGTTGGAACCCATGCTGGGATACACACGCTCACAGGTATGTGTTCCAAGACCTCCAGCAGAGCAACCAAATGTCTCCTATAAATTAATCTGGCACTCTTTGCCTTTGAGTGTTTCTTTTAGCCACTGAGTTCAAGTAACAAGATCTTATGGGACTTTTAGATGTAAACTGTAAACAATTAGAATAAAATGTACTAAGCATAATTGTGGTTGGGAATAAGAATAACTGGATTATAAATGTGGAAATCACTGGGGCTAACATAATTGAAGATAAAGAGGAAACTACAGTGAAGTATCGAGACCAACAAATTGGGATTCGTGGTTTCATGATGGCGCAGCGGATTAAACTGTAAGCTGCTGAACTTGCTGTTCGAATCCGGGAAGTGGGGTGAGCTCCCACTGTTAGCCCCAGTTTCTGCCAACCTAGCAGTTTGAAAACATGCAAATGTGAGTATAGGTACTTCTTCGGCGGGAAGGCAATGGCGCCCCATGCAGTAATGCTGGCCACTTGACCTTGGTGGTGCCGACTCTTTGAGCATGACTAGACTTAATGTCAGGGGACATCTTTACCTTTACCTTTACTATGAAAACAAATAATTTTGATTCTATTGTTCTCTTGGACCAATTTAAAAATTGACCAAGCATTTCAATGTAATCACCATAGATAAAATCACAATAGCACAATTACAGAAAAGTGACTATTTTGGAAAATATCATATCATCCAATGACATCTCACTGATTTTGTGGTAGAACCGGAATCAACGGTGGTCCAAAACCCTTGGCAGTCTGTGAAACCGGGATAGCAATAAATAATGGATTCAGTATTATTTTTGTCAATTCCAAATCCAAATCCAAAATGTTGGTGACCTATTTATTTAGTATTTATTTCGCGCATTTCTACCCCGCCCTTCTCAATCCCCGAGGGGGGACTCATAATTCAGGATCATTGTTTGCATATTTTCATGACTGACTCATATGTAGTCCCATTTCTTAACCAGAACATTTTATTTGCTAAATACAGTTACTACTTGTTTTATTCTGTTCCTGAAATGTGTATCCTGCTTTTAGCCAACAAGTCTGTGATTCCCAGTACTTGGGGCTTCTTTTTATATCTTTCAGATTAAGTTTTTTAAGAAGGGAGCTGAGATGTTTTCCAAAAAAATGGACAGCTTTTTGTCTTCTGTTTCAAGCATGACTCAGAGGTAATGAGTTATTCTACTTTACATGTGGCACACCTCCCCTATCTCTTGTACTATGCCTGACAGCAACCTTAGCATCACCATAATTCCAGTTTTAGAAGAAGAGAACAATGGCTGTTGCTTGTTTCATTCCCCTACTAATAGGGGCAGAGTGAGATATGTAGAAGCTGAGATGGCCAGGGAGAAGAGTGGAAATTAAGATCACAGAGGTGAAGAGAGCAAGAACATGCTTTCCTCATGTGCAGCCTTGGTGTGAATGCATCCCCAGATAAAATGTATTCATTTGTAGCTTTATATAAACACCTCTAAAAGATTCTGGTCCAACTTACCTATTCAAACATATCTCTCCCTATAAGCCTGTTAGAGAGTTAAGATCTGCGAGGGAGGCCCTGCTCTTGGTCCCACCCCCCATCACAAGCACAACTGGTGGGGACGAGAGACAGGGCCTTCTCTGTGGTGGCCCCTTGGTTGTGAAACTCCCTCCCCAGTGATATCAGACTGTCCCCCTCTCTCCTGGTGTTCAGGGAAAAAGTGAAGGCATAGCTTTGCAATCAGGCATTTGGGTAGTGCAATTGTGCTGATTCTATCAACACAATGTAACACGCAAATGACATCTTTAGGACTGGGTTTTATGTTTTAATAGTTTTATGATATTTATATGTTTTAACTGTTTTTTGTATCAATGTATTGTATTTTATGTTATTGAATATGCGGCATTGAATATTGCAATTATGTGTGCCACTCTGAGTCCCCTGCAAGGGTCAAAAGGGCGGGATAGAAATGGAGTAAATAAATAAATAAATGTAACCCTTTAGGTGCCTTGGGACTACAGTTTCCATCAGTCTTAGCTGTTATAATCAGTGGTAAAGGATTATGGAACTTGCAGTTTGATGACAAGTCAAGGGTCATACATTCTCATTGCTGATGCAGAGTCTACTCGCAGCAGGAAAACAGGTTCATTTCTATCCTGAATAGTGGAAATAGGAACCCCCGGTGGCGCAATGGGTTAACCCTTGTGCCAGCAGGACTGAAGACCAACAGGTCGGAGGTTCAAATCCGAGGAGAACACAGATGAGCTCCCTCTGTCTGCTCCAGCTCCCCATGTAGGGACATGAGAGAAGCCTCCCACAAGGATGGTAAAACATCCGAGCTTCCCCTGGGCAATATCCTTGCTAAGTTTCTCACACCAGAAGCAGCTTGCAGTTTCTCAAGTAGCTCCTGACACCAAAAACATTTAGTGGAAATCCAATTTTTTTTTGCAAAGCACACAATACATTTATTGGTATCTGCAATGGTGGTAGTCTGAGAATAGTGTCCCTAATTTCCAGGATCCCTGTCCTCCTGCTTGCTATGTTTTCACAGATAGAATTATTAGAGGCATCTATCTAATCCTTTACTAAGAAGCTTGAGGTTGCTGCTGACCAGTGTGAGATAGATGCTTGCTGGAAAGCTAAGCCTATGGAGGCCTGCTTACCCTGACCTGGTGTACCCCCCCCCCCCCCCATTTGCTGTGCCGTCCATCATCCCCCACTATTTGCTAGGTTACAACTTTCGTCTTTCCCCATGCCCAACTCCCATGACCATACTAGCTTGGGATGATGGGAGGAATGAGTCCAGTATATCTGAAGAGCTCCAGGTTGGAGAAAGTTGACTTGCACTGACTGATCTTGCAAATTTTGTTTTCTCTGTAGCAGTGCATTTCATTGCCTATCCGAAGGGCTGCCAATGTTTTAAAATAGACAAAGGTCCTAGCTGAACTAGAACTAATTAACAGTGTGGACATTTTTTAAAAAAAAAATGCAGCTAACTCTTCACAGGTATCTAGAATTAACTAGAATTAAAAACTAGAAACCCCATTTCTATTTGTTGTATCTAGAGAATACTAGGAAGCACTTTCTTATATTTCCCCCATTAGTTTACCTAGAAGTGTGTTAAATTTTTATAAGGACAGAAGTCTCCCTCCACCAGCTACGTTTTTGAAAAAGCATTGATACTATCCTTTTGCTCCACATTTTTATTTTGCCTCTGTAAGCAAGTTTATGAGTCAAGTGCTCTGAGTTCATATTTTATTCATCTGTTTGTTTATTGCAGTGTGCAGGAAGAATTAGATGCTGAGGCTGAAGCTATGCGGGTATCTCAGCAAGATCTGCTTTCAGTTGGTGAATCCGTGTACACGCCCGATTATGATGCGCCTGCGCCTCTTATCAACAGAAACCTCATTCAGAAAGCTGGCTACCTTAACCTTAGAAAGTAAGGAAAGAAGCTTGGGCATATGCCTTTCTTAACTTGGTAGAATTTGTTTAGTACCTTAGTAGGTTTATTGATTTTCAAAACTCACTTTTGAAGTAGCATTTGGACGCAAGATACCTAAAAGTAAACTGAGATGCATTTGATGAAACTTCTGACATTGTTTTGAACTTTCTAGATGGGTTTTGTGATGTTTCACACACTGTAGGGAAAACATATCAGTGTGGTGCTGAATGGTTGCAGGATATACGCCCAATTCCTATCTTACCAAAAGGATTGTTTCCAGGGTGCGGCAGATGTGAACTCAGCTTGACTAATGTTAGTGAATGAGAAAGATCTTAAAACAGTGCCTTTTCTACAGTAAAACAGGCCTAGTGACTACAACATGGGACAGGTTGTACTTCTTCACTCAAGGTGGAAACTTGATGTGTCAGCCCAGAGGAGCAGTAGCCGGGGGACTGATCCAGGATCTGGACAACTGCTCTGTGATGGCAATCGATTGTGAGGACAGACGATACTGCTTTCAGATCACCACTCCAACAGGAAAACCGTAAGTATCTCAGGACTAGGGTACAACAAGTCATCTTAAAAGTAACATCCATTTATTTATTTATTTGTTTGCCTTATTTATATCCTGCCTTACTCTACCCTGAGGGGGACTCAAGGTGGCTTACAAGTGGAACCTACACAGTGCCTCAAAACATACAATATTGACTTAAAAGTAAATTGGATCAAAATTACAACATATTAAACATAATTAAAATACATTCAATGTTAAAACACGTCATCCAGGGATCAGAGTCTAAATCTATTCTGTAATCAATTGCTCATAATTCACATTATAATTACTGTACTGCACTATTTTTCAAAAGCCTGCTCCCAGAGCCAGATTTTTACTCTTCTTCTGAAGGCTAAGAGGGTGGGTTTGATATAATATTGCTAGGGAGAGAGTTCCACAACCGAGGGGCCACCACTGAGAAGGCCCTGTTTCTTGTCTAGCCATGCCTGCAAGAAAGGTGGGACCAAGAGCAAGGCCTCCTCAGACAATCTTAGTCTCTGAGCTGGTTCATAGGGGGAGATACGTTCGGACAGGTAAACCGTCCAAAGGCACACTTCTGCCTTTGGTACCACTATTCTAATTCGTAAATCTCACACTTGACATATGCCCAAATGTTGTCATTCAAAAGTTATAAAAAGTTACAATGACACAAACATCTCATACACCTTGAATGTTCCATTAGATGTTGAGCCACATCAACGATGCTTCTCTATCGTCATATGATTTTTGCCTTTACACCCACCCACCCTCCCACTCCAAACCCTTATTTGATTCTTCAATGTGATGGAGCATGTTGGATCTTCTATTGGTTCTAGGTATACTCTGGTCCCTTCTACACAGCTGAATAAAATCCCAATTTCTGCTTTGAACTGGAATATATGGCAATGTGGGCTCAGATAACCCAGTTCAAAGCAGTTATTGTGGAATTTTTCCCACATAAAACCCTCCAAATAGGCAAAACATTTGAAAATACCCCTCTGCTCCCACACAAGAATACCTTGCACTATTCCAATACCTCTGTTTTCTTCTGCAGTCCTTCTCAAAGGGATAATACAAAGTGTCCTATATACTTGAAGATAAGCTGAGTTTTTCAGTCCTTTTTTTAACTGAAAAAGCCTCCCTCGGCTTATAATGGGGTCAAGGTCAAAGCCAGGCAGCAGAGCCTGGAGGCAATTGCTTGCAATATAAGATATATTTCTCTCTCCTCTTCACCTCCCTTGAGAGTATGTTTTCTTTTCCAGTCAAAAGGGAGGAAAGGAGGGAAATATTTCATGTTATCTTACAAACCCATCCAATTCCCTGGCTTTTGTGTGTGTGTGTGTGTGTGTGTGTGCGTGTGTGTGTGTGTTCAATGTATTCACTTTATATGTGCATTTTTGTTCCCTTGGGAGTTTTCCCCTCATATATTTGCAGGTCTTTGCAAATCCTATATACATATAGATATCTAGAGATTTCCATGTACCCATATATCTGTATCTATATGTATACATTATTTTTATTTGAATTTTCCCTTCACATGTTTGCAAGTCTCTGCAAATCCTATATAGATATAATCATCTATATATAGAGAGAGATGTCTAGATAAATATATATGGATATATTGGGCTTCCAAAAATTGCAGGAGGGAAATGCTCATATAGAAAGAGAGGATTTGCAAATGTTTCAGGAGGAAATAAATATGTGAAATTAGTGTATATAATTATAGATCTATATATAGCTCTGCATTGCTTATATAGGCATTGAATGTTTGCCTGTTATTATGTTGGATGCGCCTGGAGAAATAGGGAGAGATACAAATGAAGTTCTATTATTATTATTATTATTATTATTATTATTATTATTATGTTATTTCTGATACCATATTGTTTTTGTTGACCTACTTTTCCATTTACAGAGATAGTTTACTGTTTTTCTTTGGAATATGGTAAATATTCAAAAACATTGAACCTACTGATGCCTCAATTAATGTAATTTTATTACTATCAATTTTTATTTTGAAATTTACCAGTAGCTGCTGCATTTCCCTCCCTCGGCTTATATTCGAGTCAATAAATTTTCCTAGTTTTTTTTTTGTGGTAAAATTAGGTGCTTCGATTTATATTTGGGTCGGCTTATATGAGTATATATGGTAATACGTTGTATCTTCCTGTCACCATTTTGAAAAGGACTGAAGAGGAAAATAGAGGTGTTTTGGATTGGTCTAAAGGGGATGGTACTCAGAACAGGCTCTAGCTGCACAAAGTTACCCAACAATGTTGTGCATAAATGTGTGTCAAACGAGTGCAAAAAATTAATGCCTCTGCATTTCCTTGTAGGGGCATAACACTTCAGGCAGAAAGCAAGAAAGAATATGAAGAGGTAAATAAATGTTGCTGTGTGAATCTAATTTTGATAAAATTAAGAGCTCCAGAACTTCACTTTTTCATTCTGTCCCTTTTTAACTCTTACAGTGGATCTGCGCAATCAACAACATCTCCCGGCAGATCTATCTTACAGACAATCCTGAAGTAAGCATTTATTTTAATGGCTTTCTATCCCCCATAAAATAAATGTTCTGTAATGATGTAAATGTTCATCCAACCAAAGTAATCTAAAAGTGTGCCTCTCTCTTGCTTTAGGCAGTAGCTATCAGGTTAAATCAAACGGCACTACAAGCTGTGACCCCAATCACAAGTTTTGGAAAGAAACAGGACTCTCTGTCCCCCAGGTAACATTATGTGTTTCAACAGCCATGTTTGTCTTGGGTTATGTTTAAATGCCCTATTCCAGGCATGCGCAAACTTTGGTCCTCCAGGTGTTTTGGACTGTTTGGTCCTCCAGGTGTTAGGAATTGTGGGAGTTGGAGTCCAAAACACCTGGAGGGCCAAAGTTTGCCCATGCCTGCCTATACCCATAGAAAGTTCTCCTAGAGGAGGAGGCTCTTTATTCTCACTCTTTAATTCTTAACAGAAATATAGGGCAAATATTCAAGGAGGCCTTAATGGGTTGTATTCAATCTTATTTATATAAATAAAAATGTAATGTTTGTTTGTGGGATTAACATAACTCAAAAACCATTGGGCAAATTGATACCAAATTTGGACAAAAGAGACCTATCAGGCCAATAAGTGACCATCACTTATAAAAACACTGAAAAACACAGCAGAAGAGACTTAAAAAGCCCCAAAACAAAAATGAAATTACAAGACATGCGCAAAGCCACATATATACGCAAACACACATATATACACATAGGTAAAGGTAAAGGTTTCTCCCTAACATTAAGTCCAGTCATGTCCGACTCTGGGGGTTGGTGCTCATTTCCATATGTATATATACACCTATACACACATACACACCTATACACACACAAAACACATATACACAGATTGGGCCACAGCAATGCGTGGCAGGGGATGGCTAGTGTAACATATTATGCTTTAGTCAATTTTAAAAGCACTTTTAATTATCCAGATGTTATGCTGATATGTTTCAGTATCCATTCAGCCAGTGAAAGTGAATGCTGGTTTGCCAATTTTTACCTGGTTTCCCATTCTTAGGAATCGGTTTGCTTTTCTGTCATAACATTGTCTTTTCCACATGGTACCATTCTCTCTACTTTTGCTTTAGCCAGGATGTGAAGAACACGGAGATGCTGAATGATAGAACGACTCATGAACCTGCCAGCATTCCAGACTCTGCCGAGTTAATTGCACCTGGAACACCAATTCAGTTTGATATTGTGCTTCCTGCAATGGAGTTCCTAGACCAGAACAGAGGTGGCAAGTAAGGGGCAAGGAAAATTTTATTTTTGCCTCTTTTCTCATGGTAGCAGGTGATCCTATAATGATAATTGGTTCTTGCATTATAGGCGAGCAAACCCATTTGGAGAGTCTGAAGATGACAGAAAAGATGATGAGGCTGGTAAGTGCTGTGGCAATTGTTCATAAAGTCTTGGTGCCTGATTGGACCCCAAAGGCCATGTAGGTTAACTGGCTCCTTAGAGGCAGGGCAACTTCACTCCTCCTACTTCTGACCTTCCTTGCAGCAATCTGTTACTCCATGCAATCCTATTCTGTAAGCAGAGGTATCTGCAGGGCAAAGCTATTCTTTGGTAGACATGCCGCAAATAAAATGAAGGGATAAAGAAAGTATGTACTCTCTCCTCTAAATATTCAAACACCAAATATTGAAACACCAGTATACTCACCGAAACTGTCCTTGAAAAATCCTGACAGAAGAAATGACTTTTTTGTAATCTCTGAAGAAATGAGTGGTCAAGCTAAATTGTTTCATATATGGGGAAACAGTTTGAATTGGTAAAGAAAAATACACTTTTGGCTGTCTTTTTTTTCTCCTCAGATTCACTCTTGAATCAGATGTTTGTAGTCCGCTTTTTGGGCTCTATGGCTGTCAAATCCGACCAGACTGTTGAGGTGATCTATGAAGCAATGAGACAGGTGTTGGCAGCTCGGGCCATTCACAACATCTTCCGTATGGCTGAATCCCACCTCTTGGTCACCAGCAAAGACCTGAAGTAAGGAAAAGTTCCTTGCATTCTTTATTTCTCTCTCTTCTTTCTTTCAACCTTATCCACAGCTTTGTTGATAGGGGTTCCCGGATTTGATCTAAATCTACTATTGGAGATGCTGTTCAGAAAATAATGCTTGTAGTGTCCACTGATACATGTGGGAAGAGGCAGCATTCTTTTATTTGCCTTACATTCTCCTCTAGATCAGCTCCAGAGGGAGTTGGAGGACCTTCAGGTCTTTGGGAGGACATAAAGCTGTACCAGATCAGTCCAAAGACCTATTAAGACCAGGGTTTCTTAAACCTTTTCAACTCATGACTCTGTTTTGTCTGAGAAATTTATAAGTGACCCCAGGTATATAAAATACTAGCTGTACCCGCCACACATTGCTGTGGCCAACCTCCCCTCCCCTTTTTTCTCCTTTCTTTCTCTTTCTTCCCTTTTTCTTTCCTTCCTTCTCTACCTCTTTCCATCCTTCACCTCCATTTATGTTTCTTTTCCTTTCTCTCCTTTCTTCCTTGTCTACCTATTCTTGCACTGTAATTCCCAGCAGTTCTTCTGATCGATTCGTCTATCTACCTACCAATGTATCTCTATCTATCTGGAGGATTGGTGGGAGTTGCAGTCCAGGAATAGGAAATTGAAAATACGCAGGGATTGGGATGCTCCCAAAGAAATCCAGGGAGAAGCAAGCTTTCATCTTGGAAGCAGTGCATTTGGATCATTGTCCTCTCCTAATGGGCCTGGTCTAGGGGATGCTGGGAGCTGTAGTCCTGAAGAGAGTGTGGATATGCTATTCTGTGTTTTGTTTGCCAGGGGGAGTTATTTTTGCACATGTGCAGTAGTATCTTTTTGCTTTTTTTTTTGCTTTTGAAGTCCCTTCCGCCATGTTTTTTAGTGTTTTTATCAGTGATGGTCACTCATTGGCCTGATAGGTGTGTTGTGTCCAAATTTCATGTCAGTTCGCCCAGTGGTTTTTGAGTTATGTTAATCCCACAAATGAACATTACATTTTTATTTATACAGATGTATACAAATCAAACCTTTACTGCTGGTAAATCATCAATTTATTTCGTATTTTTAAAGCAATCTCTCTCCTTCTCTAAGCAAAGAATTCATGGGGAAATAAACTCTCATGACCAGTATCTTTATGAGCAGATATGTCAGCACCAAGTTGAGGCATTGAGGAAGGGAGGAGTATGGATCACAAGTGGGACATCCAACTCAGGAGGCAAAATGGGTAAAAGAAGAAAGGAAGAATGCAGTCTACACTCCATGCCTCTCATTGTGACAGATTCAATAGGATGGAGAGAGGTGGAAAGGAGACACCCCCCCCCCCCCAGACTTCCAAGATTGGAAGGGAATGAAAGACACCTCCTCCCCAGTCTCCCAAAATGAATTGTAGTTGATGGGATTTATAGTTAACCAACAAAGAGCATTCTGATGGCCACCAATAATAGAACAGGGACAAACTTTCCACACAGAACCCCCATGATCAACAGAAAATACTGTGTTTTATGATGCTCTTTGGCGACCCCTCTGACACCTCCTTGCAACCTCCCCCCCCCCCAGTGGTCCTGACCCCCAGGTTGAGAAACACTGCTTTAGAAAAACTACTTAGAAATAAACTCATTGATTTGTTCCCATTTTGTGGGAAATGTAGCCAAAGATGCAAGGGGGCTGGGTGTAGCTTCTTTACCTTTCCTGCTGTTGTGCCATCATTTAAGGATTTGATATTCTTTCTTTTCTCTCTTTGACTTAATAGATTAATAGATCCCCAGACCCAAGTTACAAGAGCAAACGTAAGTATTTTCTTTCTTTAGTCACAGTGATGCAATTGCTGTCAAAGCTCTAAATACTAAATTACTGTCTGAGAAATTATGAGGAACATGCTTACTAATCTTAACATCCTTGAACTTGTTTTTCCAGTTTGACCTGGCCAATGTGACACAGTTTGCTGCTCATCAAGAAAATAAGAGGCTGATTGGTTTTGTGGTTTGTGTCTCGGAGTCTCCTGGTGAAGATTCAATGAGCTCTTACGTATTTGAGAGTAACACTGAGGGTGAAAAGGTCTGATGAAAAATTTGTTTCTTTACACTCTGTGACTTTCACTTACAAGTCTTAGCAGGAGTTGAGATGTATTGTCGAAGGCTTTCATGGCCAAAATCACTGGGTTGCTGTAAGTTCTTCAGGCTGTATGGCCATGTTCCAGAAGCATTCTCTCCTGACGTTTTGCCTGCATTTATAGCAGGCATCCCCAGAGGTTGTGAGGTCTGCTGGAAACTAGTAAAATTGGGTTTATATATCTGTGGAAGGTCCAGGGTGGGAGAAAGAACTCTTCTCTGTTGGAGGTAGGTGTGAATGTTTCAATTGACCACCTTGATAAGCATTTAATATCCTAGCAGTTTTCAAGGTGTGGCTTCTTTTGTTGAGATATGATTAGCTGTCCCTGATTGTTTCTTGTCTGGAGTTCCCCTGTTTTTAAAAGTTGTTCTTTATTTACTGTTATGATTTTTTAAAATACTGATAGCCAGATTTTGTTCATTTTCATGGTTTCTTCCTTTCTCTTGACCTGATGAAACCAACCTGGACACAGCATATTATTTGAGTAGGCAGAAATGCTGGTTCACTCTAACCACTACCATGTCGGACTACACAGAGAAACCATTGAAATCCACAAGCATGTGGACAGTTTTAACAAAAAGGAAGACAGTGAACAAAATCTGGCTACCAATAATAAAAAAGAAACACTTTAACATCATAACTGTAAATAAAGAACAACTTTAAAGAAACAGAGGAACTCCAGACAAGAAACAATCAGGGACAGCTCATCACCTCTCAATAAAGGATTCTTCCAGACAGTAAGAAGCTTCATCTTGAAAACTGCTCGGCTATTAAATATTAATCAAGGTGGCCAACTGAAACATTCACACCTACCTACAACAGACAAGAGTTCTTTCTCTCACCCTGGACTTTCCACAGATAGATAAACCCAATTTTTCTGGTTTCCAACAGACCTCACAACCTCTGAGGATGCCTGCCGTAGTTGCAGGTGAAATGTCAGGAGGGAACAGGAGGCAATATGGCCATACAGCCCGGAAACTTACAGCAACCCATTTAGTGAATTGTTAATTCCATTTGCCTTGTTTAGGACTGTATGCAACCCTCCCGACCTCAACAAAACAGGTTCCAAGATGTTGCAGCAATTCTCAAATAATTGCTTTCCCAGATAATCCAGCTCAGATGACTAAAATACTTTGTAGCAGCATCTTTGTTGATGTTGGCTCCTCAGCATTTCTTAAAATGACCTGCCAATAGAATTTAAGTAACTATTTGTTCTAGCCCAAGAGCTGAAAACAACTCTATTATTTGAGAAGAGGTGTGGTTCTCTAAATGTTTGGATTCCAATTGCCATCAGTTGCAACCTGCATGGCCAGTCATTGGGAGTGATGGAAGCTTTTGCAACAGTATCTGAAGTGTCACAGAAACCCCACCCTTTTCCTGAAATCAAACTTCAAAGTGAATGTGGTCCAACCCACTATGGGTGCCACAGATCCCTATTGCAGTATCTTTTGTTGTGCTGCACTGTTTTGTTATGCATACAGTTGGCAAAGTGTTACCTGTCTGCAGATGCTTCCAACTTGCACCATTCTCTCCATGTGATCAGGAACCCTGAGTTTTCAGCATTTTAGGTGACAGGAAGAGGTTCCGTATGTGGCAGAGACTCTTCCTTCCACTTGAGATAATAGATAATGGAGAGGCAAGGCTCCTTCACACATTTATTCTAATCCTGTTTAAATAAGGTTATGCTCATTTACATTCAGTTATAGTTATCTTCCTAGGAAGTTGTAAATAGTGTGATTTGTCCTAATCAATACAAGTACCTCTCCATAAACCATTCTAAATCTGTGTTTCTTGTGCAGATTTGCTATGCAATAAGTTTGGGGAAGGAAATCCTTGAAGCTCGGAAGGTAATATTTAATTGTGCTTAACTTCACATGCTTTGCTTTTTGACATAAGGGATCTTAGTTTTAAAACTTTGGTACCTGCTATAATTTTCTAAAAAACTTTGGTACCTGCTATAATTGGGCTCCCTGGTGGCACAGCAGGTTAAACCACTGAGCTGCTGAACTTCCTGACCATAATGTTGGCTGTTTGAATACGGGGAGTGTGGTGAGCTCCTGCTGTTAGGCCCAGCTTCTGCCAACGTAGCAGTTTGAAAACATGCAAATGTGAGATCAATAGGTACCGCCTTTGCAGGAAAGTTATGGCACTCCATGTAGTCATGCTGGCCACATGACCTTGGAGATGTCTACAGACAATGCCAGCTCTTCGGCTTAGAAATGGAGATGAGCACCACCTCCCAGAGTTGGACCCGGTTAGACTGAATGTCAAGGGGAAACCTTTACCTTATCTGCTATAATGATTGCATATAGGATCTCATTGTGTCCTCTTTATTTAAACTACTCCAGGCAAACCTGGACGGTAATTAAAAAAGCGTGGTTACCTAAATGAAGTTGAATATTGCCATCTGTTATATAGTAACAATAATTTGCTTCAGATAGTAAAGTGACATCATCTATAACTGGAAGCTTACAAGTGTTGTGAACCAATCATAGTTGGCTCTTAAGTTTGATTGAAATGGAGCAGCCTGGTTTCCACTGAATATTGATACTTGTTTGTTAAGAGGATTAGACTACCAGAACTGCAGAATTTGGCTAAATTGTGCCTAATTAAGAGAACTAGAATTTGAGGAGAGACAAGTGCTCACAATAAAAGGCTAGTCGTGACAAAGGCAGCACAAATAGGGTAAATTCCCAAACATATAATCTAACCAATTTTTCATCTTAAGTATCATCGTCAATTGCCTGGTTTTTTTCTCATTGTTTGCTGTAATCAATCTCTCTTTGCTTATATTGAAGACTAAGTGGAAGAGTTTATGCATCAATATTGCAATATTCATTTATTATTACTTTTACTGTTAAATAATGTCACAGGGCTTTAGATTTCTCCACATGTTCCACACACTTAAAACCAGCTTTCACTGGAGTTCAAGGCGGGGAGGACTTGTTCGAAAATCCCTTCCGAAATCAGTGAGATAAAGCTTGTTTAAATAATAATAATAATAATAATTATTATTATTATTATTATTTATTTATTTATTTATTTATGTACTGCTCTATCTCTCCTCAGGGACTCAGGGCAACATAAAACATAGAGAGTAGCCATTAAAACATAAACATAATCTGTTAACAAAATCCTATGCATTACAACAAACCAATTTCATAAACTCTTATGCAAACGCCCCATTTGTATGTGGGCCAGGACAGGTTGAAAGGGCTGATCAGGGTTCCTACAAAAGTAATGAGGCCAGTGGAATGAGTAAAGTGCCAGGAGTGGACTTGATTTCTCTCCAGGGCCTTCTTGCAATTTTGAAGTGGAAGGTCTAGGCCAGAAACCAGTGTCACAACATGGAAGAGGTGCTAGTTGGGCTTTTACTACAGGCCAGGGGCTTCAGGCCTGGGATTAGTCCTTATCAAAGGCCTAATGAAACCACCAGGCCTTCAAGTCTTTCCGGAAAGAGGAGAGTGTTGGGGCCTGTCTTAGTTCCCTAGGGAGGCGTTCCAGAGGTGAGGGGCCGAGAAAGCCCTCTCCCTCGTCCCCACCAACCATGCTTGAGATGGTGGCGGGAACGAGAGGAGGGCCTCTCTGGTAGATCTTAGATTTTGTGCTGGTTCATAGGGAGAGATGCGTTCGCGGAGATAGATGGGGGCCCAAACCGTGTAGGGCTTTATAGGTCATAACCTGCACCTTGAATTGGGCCCGGCAGCTAACATCTGTGAATGTACCTTATTTGTATTTGAAGTCATGTTAATGTGTGTGGATACTTGATCAAAACTGTTTGAGAATTCTGCTGACAAATCATTGCATGATATCTAGCTTGCCTCTTAGTAAGTACTACTAATGTTGGACATGGGGTATAATCTGGATTAGGATGGCAATATGAGGATATAGGTGTTACAAGTCTCCAGTCTCATTAGCAGAGATTAATCCTCCATACCTGAAGTGTGCTTTGATAAACAGTTTGTGTAAATGAATCAATGTTGGTACAGTATGCCCCATTTGGCTCTCCTTTAATACTGTTTTCTCTCATTGTAGGATCCAGAAGCATTAGCTCAGTTAATGTCATCTATGCCACTGACCAATGATGGAAAGTTCATGCTGTTGAATGACCATTCAGAAGAGGACAATGCTGTACATGGAGATGGGCAGGAGGAATCAGAAGCATAAGTTATTTTGTTCAGTGGAGGTGTTTGGAATAGGTTAAATTCTGTGCTCTTAGCTATGATCCAACATGGAATGGATTACCTAGACAGAGCAGGAGAACTGAACATGGCCTGCACGTTTGGCATGATAGAAGGACAATCTTTGAAAATTTCCCAACAATCAACATTGAGGAAAGCCATCTGACTACCAGCAATTTTCAGATTCAAAGCATAGATGAAGCAGAGCTCTTTTTGACATTCCAAACCCATCTCTCCATCAGCCTGCACATTCATCTGCTTCAAGTTTCCTATTGCAGTCATGGCCTTCAACTGCCTAAATTATATTCATTTGCTCATCTGTTTATTTTTGTGTTAGATAGGGCAAGGAGTTGCACAAGCCCAGAAAATTTCATCCTCTGGTCCCCAGAAATTCTAGGCAGTGCATGCACATTGCATATAATCTACTAAGACCTCATTAAGTATTTCTCCCATTCTAGAAAGAAGGAATGGAAATTAGAGGTTCTGAGGCAGCGAAATTCTTGCACTGTACTAGAGGCCTGGAACACACCCAACCTAATAAATCATTAGTTCCTATATATCTCGAAAGAAATGCATTAAAAACTTGCTTTTAGGTTCTGGTATCATTTTCTAAGGAACACTATTTTGAGCTAGATTGTTAAGCAAACAGTTATTTCAAATACTTTCCTAATAATATATATTTTTGTACTTTATCTGAAGTAAGCTTTCAATATTAATCATAAGTGCCTACTTTTCTGGGGACCATAGCATTACCCAGGTAGACCAGAACCTATGCGTTGAGCCTGTCAGAAGTCTCAGGTGTTCACCAAGCATCTTCTCTGAGCCAGGTAGACTATTACTTTTTGCACTGATCTGTACAGTTGGGTTAGTGCTTCTGCAGGTTCAACATGAAAAGGGGATGGCTTTTTAGACTGTCCCGCTAACTTGAAAAGGCTTCTTCAAAACTTACTTCTAGGCAGCCTGTCCTAAGAAGCACTTTTGGGAAGCAAATTTCAGAGACATTTTTCTTTCAACAGAGGACCAATACCAGTATAATATTGTCTATAGCAGTTTGATATTGTTACTTCATGGCATCAGCACAAATTGGGACATGCCACTGTACTGATACTTCTAGGTTTTACTATTTTAAACTGAAGTTACATGCAAGAAAAGAGCTAGCTCTAATCCACTTTCCTCAATTACTCTGGGTTTTTACAAACATAATGTGTTTTAATGGTAACAGCAAGGTCCACCTCTTGCTATTCTCCATCTTTTAGCAATAATGCTAGATTAAAATCTTATTTCAAGTAAACAGTTTTGTCTGACATTAATTCATCTTTATTTAAAAATACAAGCAGGTCTTCTTGTCAGAGCACTGCATTGCAGTAATACGTTGTGATAGCTGGAAGTAAATACTAAATCAACACATTTATTAACCTGGAAATTGGGGCAAGAGTTCATTAATGTTGTTAGCTGGTACCCATGTGCAGGGCAAACTGCTGTGCTGGAGTTTAAGCATACTCAGATATCTCTAGGTCAAAAAGGTAGCAATGCTGTGATCTTGATACAGTTGTCAGAGTGAACAAATTGACCCAACTAAACTCAATGTAACAGAATGTATAGTTGCTAAAAGATTACAAGTAGAATTACATCAACCACATATTTACAATTTTGCAAAGATAGCACTATATCTCCTTTCCCCTAGGTATCATTTCATTGGTGTATTGGGTGATTACTCTTCAGAATTCACTTGTATGCCTATGGCATGTATGGTTGAATTATTTAGACCAATTTTTTTTTTAAAAAAAAAAACCAGCTGAGATCTTTACCGTATTTCATTGCACAGTCATCTCAGTCAGCCTTTTTGGGTTCCAACTTTGGTATACTTGATGTTCCTCGCATAATAGTCACACCCTTTATTCTCACGCCCGCACATCTAAATGGGCGAGTGAATGAAGGGTGTCTGCCCTTTGCAGCTACGGGGCTTCCCTTGGCCATGAGGCACCCTTCATTCACTCGCCCAGGCAGGTGGGTGAGAAAAATGTCACTATTACGTGATGAAATCCAGTAGTTATAAATGTGTAACTAAGTCTCATCTCTTAGTCTGACCCAACAAACTTCCTTAAAAGCCAGCAGCCACATGGAGCTGACAGAGGATTCAGCCTTTTCTTGGCTCTCGTCCTATGCAGGCTAGGATAGTTCCTCCTTCTGAAGATCTTCCTGTTCCAACAGGAATTTGGCAATTAGTTTTACTTAACAAGACCCCTGTATCTGCAGCTTTCCTCGAAGGACCTAGCAAATTCCTAAATTGACCATTTCCCCTCAAGCACGAATAAGTGAAGCCATGGATATAGGTTCTACAGTTACAGGGATCTTACTGTATGTACAGAGCTATTGGGAAAAGTATACTGTTCTATTTTAGTTTTCTGCTTCTATTTTATTGCCTGGCTTCCTGTTAACAAGTTAAATCATAATCCTTTACCTCCCAAATACTATGACCAAAATCCCCTATAAAACCATTTGTTTCATGCTGCCGTAACTCAGCCATATAGAAGCTACTGTACAATACAAGTACCTGAGAATTCTTGCGTGGGGGGGGGGGGGGGGGGGGGGGGGGAGGAGACGAAAACATATAATAGAGTGCATGATAACCTTTCGATCCCCTCTCAAAAGTCATTTTGTGGTTTAAACTATGTAATTAAAGTATTTTTCTCTCTTTAGAAGTTAGGATACATTTTGAAGGAAGATCACATTGGAAAGCTTTTACAATGGAAATGAATTTTAGCTAGGTCAATGCAGCATACTGAGAAATAATAATAGTTATAATAATAATAACTTTCTTATATCCTGCCACCATCTCCCCGAAGGGACTCAGAGCAGCTAACATGGGGACCAGGCCCACAAGAATACAAGTACAATTACAGCAACCACAGATTTAAAATTTTGTGGAGGTAGCACTATATTTCCTTTCCCCTAGATCAGTGTCCTGTCATTGGTGACTTGGATGATTTCTCTTCAGAATTCACCATAAAACCATAATTCTGTTGTGGAGCTAGATTAATCAGTGCATAGAGCAGTGGTTCCTAACTTTTTTGACCAGAGCCCACTTTGACCAGGGACCACTCTCCAACATTAATACCAAATGGTCAGCTCTGTGGAAAGGAGCAGAAATTAAATAAATACAGAGGAAGGAGGTTTGCGGATTGGATTTTCATTCTCACGGCCCACTGCTAGGCCGTGACCCACAGGTTGGGAACCACTGACATAGAGGCATGCCCTTTGTCAAAGGTTGTCCCCTTGTGAAAAATATAGCATTACAACTTTTTAGAAGGACAAAAGCTTCAGGCATCAACTACACACAAACTGAACTAAATCCGGTTTTCAAAGATTCATTTATTATTGTTATGTACAGAATATTCCAACAGAACAAAACTGAGGTAACAGCCTTTTGTAAAATGAGTAAGACATGTTATATTTGGTCCCCTTCATTCCTGAGAATTTGAGCATAGCAGTCGGATGGAACTGATCAAGCTAACTGAAAGAAAATTTGCGACAGGACCTCAACTCTGCACCTCAGACAAATACAGAAGTATAAAGTACATTGATGGCTTTGCTGTTCTGGCCCATCTATGACTCTCTGATAAATCTGCTGAACTCAATCATGTACCCACCCTCAATAAGATTATGTAGTAATCAATGGAACCTGTCAGATTTAATCATCTTCCGATTAAACCTCTCTTACGGAAGGGACTTATGCATTCATGCTGTTACATACTTTATGGAAAGAAGGGATCATCAGTCAAAAGTAGAAGAATGAAAATCAGCCTCCCTTTTCTTACTGTTTGTAAACAAAAAGAATTGTCTATAAATACTGCTTTGAAGTTAGTTTAGTAAAAGGTGGGATAGGAAAAAGGAGAAAAATTATCTCCGTGTCATTTCATTCCCTTTTCCTGGCCTTTGCTCTTTGCATGCTTTGTTATGGCTGTAATTTCATTCCTCCCAGTTTAACCCACTACATTTACATGCAGCAGCTGACATCTACCTGAAGTTTTCCAAAGTGTACAGGCTTTAATGGAGACCCAGCTCTGTGGCACAAGTAGAAATATATCACTACCTGCTCTAAGATTGTAAACCCAAACTGTTCCTCTTAACTGTTCTACAACATGATGTTTGGAAGACAGGAACTTACAAATTCACAAAGAAAACTATGACTGTACATATGTATATATTCACAGAAGCAGTGTCCTTATTACATGGTTTAATACCATAGGGAAGTCTGAGGACATTTGCAAAATATCGCTAACACCATGCTAGTTTGGTTAGTACTGTACAGTTTAGGCACATGTGGTGCCCTAAATGAAGGATTTGCTTGAGTTAGAGGGCAAAAAGGAAACAAATGTATGTTTTATTACAGCAGAAAAGTGTCTTAAATTTACACGTTTTTTACAGTACTTTTCTCTGAAAGTCAGAGGTGACTCATTATGCTGGCAGTTTCTTTGGATTCCAAAGGTCTATTAATGGCAATTTTTCAATGTGGGACGTAGTTGGAAACAAGCAGCAAAACCAATGCCAAGCATGGGATGTCATGTTTAAATCACATGAAATGCAAGGTAGTTTTTTTTTTTAAATTAAGACATTTAAATCAAAATAAAACACATATTCTTCCACCTCAACTCATATGAGGTAAACTGCATATTTTAATGAAACTTGACCAGAGAGAATGACTTACAATATTTTGAATTGAATGAATATGGATTATTCTACATTTCATAGCAGTTCTGGCTCACTGTCAAATTCAAAGCTTGAGAAATTCCATTCCAGTTGATCCCATCACTTTCAGTAAATCACCACTGCTATGGATTTCTACAGAACAGAAATGATAATTGTGAGGGAAAAGTTGTATTTCAGCTTCTGGCCACACAACAAAATATTGTCATTCCTTGCCCCCATCCTGGCTCTTGATCTACTTCTGAGGATACACCAGAAAAGAGAGAGGCTATAGTTGACTGTGTTCTTCTGTGCTCTCAGATGAAGTGATTTTAGCAATCAGTAAATAGAATATACCAGTTACTTATAATTAGGTCTTTTTCCAAAAATGAGCATGCAGGGTATTTGCAATTGAGGGAAGGATAACTTCACTCCTTTTACATCATAGTCTTGTAACTAATTTCACTCCTTTCATGTCATACCCTTTAACTTTGTAATTATCTTTTATAGTTAATGGACTATAGCCTTATATGGAAAAGAGAGAATACTGTAGAGTTTGAATGGTGGCATAAACTCCTAACAAATGCTCTGTTCTAAGCTGACAAAACAATGGAAAGGATGAATACTTTGAATTGCAGATCAGGGATTTGAAAAATTTCTTTTTAAGAAATGATGGAAAAGAGCTGCAAATTGGGCCCGGAAATACTAAAACATTATTTTAAAAAATAACATCCCCAACAGTGGTATTTAACAGTTAATACATGAATAGGCTCTTCACTTCGACAGACACTGGCAAGTACAGCAGTGCTCTTTACACAGTTGGAAGAAAAACTGATTATGCAACTCTTTAGCTTACGAGAGTTGTGCTGACTATGAGCGAGTTTTGATTTCAGTCAGCAAATTTTGGTTGAATAAACAATTATCCGGAGAAGCAAATTGCAAAAATCCATTGTTCTGCTTCCTAGTTAGCACTTTGTCTTTAGACCTGTTGATGCTGGGTTGCCAAACAGTAGCATGGCATCATAACTAAGGGACACTTAGGTAAGCAAATGTTTTGCCATGAATGCCACAGTATTGGAAAAATTTGGGACCTGTTTTAACCCAGACATGGTTTATGTTTTGGGGGGTTGGGGAGCTAACTGATCAAGCTGGAAATTCAGCCAATTACTCTTTTAACTATTAGAGATTTTACAATGTAGTGCTACCATGATAATCAAACACAAGCTGTACAAAAATAAAGGCATACCCAGGCTCTCATTTCACAACAAGATCTCCAGAAGTAGAATTGGACAGACCTCCATTGCTTGTTTTTCCACTTTCTTCTGCAAGAGAAAAGATATTTGGTTTCACTACTGCTGTACAGCAAATGTCTATTACAGAAACAAGAAATAAAGTGAAAAAGGCTACAGAGATACTAGTGAGGAGCATCCACATTCACTGGCATCAAGGGCACAGAACCCCAGCAAAAGAAGGAAAATTGTGAATAAAGAAAACATCTTTCTTTGTCTGAGAGAGCATCTCTTCAATATGACTCTTTGGTCAACCTCCACCTCAAATTGACCATTGAATCCCACTGGAGTAGCTAGAAATAGCTAGAAAAACATTCTCTCTAGGAATCTCTAGATCTCCCAGCACAAATACTTGTGGAAGTAGACCACACAATTAAGATGGAGGATCTAGAGATTGGTATTAAATCAAATCCATGAATAATCAAATCCTCAAAAATCAAACACAAAAGAATGGAGGCCCGACTCTACTAGCTAAAATAATACAGAACATTAAAGCATGGGCCCTTCAGTATGTACACTATTGGGTAATCTCTGTTCCAATAGATCCATAGTTTGGAATCAAATCCCTTTGATTTCAATGGAACATCCTTAATCAATTATTGTGTTCTCTACTACATATTTATATCTGAATTGTGACACTATCTTGAATTTTCAAATCGAGCTAAACACTAAAGACAGCAGAACCAAAGATGTAAGAAATTGCTTTGATTTCTAGTATACTTCCATAAAAATTGTTACGGGTTTTTGCTCACCTTCGCGTTCTTTTTTCTCTTGATTTTCTTCTGCTGCTGTTTTATCCGCTCTGAAAAATATCCTTGCACTACTCAGTGAGAAATGAAGCAGTTCAAACTCCTACAGAGAAAAACATTTCACCAAATATTAGTATGTTACAGAATGAGAAATTCTCTTAACCGCATATCATTTCAAATACATGTATACCAGAAACTCAGCAATAACCACCACAGCTGCTACAGATAATGTATATACAAACTCTCAAATAGACATATCTTGCTATAAAATTAAATCTGGGTAATAGTAGAACAGCACTTGAGAACATGCTGAATGCCTGCCCACCCCAGTTACCTACTGCTATTTTTACAGACAAAATTAAAATGCTGGAAAGAATTCAAACACATACTTGTTACGGAAAATGTTGTCAATAAGAGGCAGAGCACATGTTCTACCTGCAAAGAAACCAGGTTCTGATCCTCTGATAATCCAAGGTGGAATTGAAAAGATTACTATCTGGAATCCCAGATAACTGCTGGCAACTACTGTAAACATGCTAGAACATAATTTTAACAACTACTACAATATGCCTACTACATGACTACTCACTTAATGCTTTGGATAAACTTTAGGCTGATAACAGTATTTTTTTAAAAGAAAGAAACCAAGCAGCTCATTGGAAACATTGGAAACAATACCTGTAAACAAACTTCCAGTCGCTTGTGAGTAAGGTTCATAGTCTGTAGCAACTTTTCATCTTGACTTGCTGACTGAACGTTCTGCTGCTTTGCCAATGCTCTGATCTCTCTCACATACTTCTCTCGCACTGACTGGAACCAGTGGAGGGAATCAAACTCCTGGTACTGGTTCAAAAGCTTCAGAATGTAAGCAACACCTGCAGATTTCAGATAGGTATATCCCCACAAGCAGTTAAAAGTTAAGTACATATTCTGTATATGTGCTTCAAACCAGTTTTTCATCATTAGTATACCAGTTTCTCATATCATATGATCTTCCAACTAAGAACAGGTCAACATTGGCTCAATTTTGACTACATCCTCACAGTTGTATGATTTTGCGTTTGGCTTCTTAGGTTGCCATTGATAAAGCAAGTGTGAAATAGTTATAACAAAACCAACTGGAAGAGCAGATGTTGAGACCACTGTATGATGAAAGGCCTCTTGGCCACCTTCCTCGGGAAATTTTAATTTAAAATATGAACAGATTTCAATTTACTAATACACTATCTAATGTTGCAACTTTCCAGTATAAAAGTCATCAACTATACATTCTATAACCCAGATGGATTGATTTGCAGTGCTTGGGTTGCTGACTTTATTGGTCCTTCAGTGTCTGAAATATTTTTTCAATATATCAAACTATAATGAACTTTACTGCATTTCTTTTCTATTGCTTTTGTTTTGTATGCTAGACACCAATGGCAGTCTGAACATATTATTAAGTAAATTAAAAGGTACATCAACCTTTGTCAATATGGCCTGAAAGACAGTTGTTGTTTGCACCAAGCAGAAAGCTAGATTCAGTTTGCTATATGAAGATATTAATACATGCTAGTCTATTGACCACCCAGAATAGTGACTCTCCAAGTTGTGAGTCACCAGAAATTTCATAACTGTGACCAGAAATGTTTAAAATGCCAGAAAACAAACACAGTATCTTCTCAATTATAAAAATCTCACATGAAATTCATGTATGCAGTCTGAGAGTTCCTGATCTATGTCTATGTCTGTAATAAGAAGCAAGCCTTTATAAAGGGCACCAAATGTTTAAGCTTCCACCATTCAGGGTGATGTCTGCTAAAATGGGAGACATAAACAGCATCCTGGGTATTTTAAATAATTTTATTGAACTTATTGAATCAGCTTCAATTGTATAGAATCTCTCCAATATCCAAGTTAAATTTGAAAAGTGCAAATGGTTACTTTTATTTTGCTCCCAATCTCTCTTGTGCCCGGGGGGGGGAGGGGGGGGTCGGAAAGGCAGAGGATGACAGAACAAAATGCCAGACAACACTGATTCTATTCACGGCTCTTAAAGAAAGAAGAAAAAGTCTTGACAGGAAGACTAATCTTGAACTTACCCATGGCAAAACCATCATCAGTGAAGGCTGCACCAGCTTTGTTCTTTTTGTTCAGTTTCTCCTTACAGCTGATTGAATGTTCGATAAAGTTTAGAGCCTAAAAACAAGAGACACATCATTCTTTAATTTAAAACAAAGTTCATAAACTTTGGGAAAATTGAAATATTAAACTCAAACTTGTGTCTAACTGGTCACATTGCTTGGATTTTTGAAGGATGACTCACTGCTTTCAATATCAGTTTCAAGCCAATAATTCATATAGCCAGTTATACATTCAAGACTTACTACCTGAAATCCTTTCACAAGACATTGTAAGGGATAAACGTGGGACATACTGCATTTTAAAAATTGATGTTCCCTAGATAAACTATTCAATTACCCTGTTTTTATATAGATTATCAAGATCAAGCTAAAGGGTTCATACAGAGGCTAAATAAACTAACAGTATAATCTTCTTTCAAAAATCTGTCTCAACACAAGTACATTCTGCACATCAGATTAGGAAAAACTAACCAGTGGAGGAACAATTATATAAAAGTTGCGTAGATGCATGTTTTTCGGACTGCGAAATTCAGGAGCAAACACATCCACAAGCATTTTGAAATATTCTGTGCCTTCTGCAGAGTTGCGTGTGAGGTCACTTAGTACACAGTCCAGTTGCCTGCAAAGCAGATAAATGACTATAAAGTATGTGGAAGGAAAATGTTATGTTCAGACTTTACTTTATTGTATTCTTTATAAGGTAATGTTGAAAGGAAGACAAGTGCCTATTAGTTGTTTTCAATGATATTAAGCACTATTCCAAAGAATTGTTTTAATTGACCATAACTGATCTAAGTCAATCTGCTTTCCTTGAAGTATCTGAAAAAAATCACTATTATTTTTTTAATTTAAAGATCTATAGTAAGTTATTTTTAGAGAGAAATACAAGCAGGGCATTATTAGAAGCCTCTCACATTCAAACTGCATAAACATGACCTTTCTACTCTAATAAGGCAGAAATCAATTCAATTAAAATAAATGGGATGTATTCCCATGTAAATATTTTTAGTGGGTTGGAATGCCAAAAGTATGTCCTATATGTACACACATCTTTAGATGGAATTAGTGCCCAAACAAAAGCAATGCAACTGCAGTGTTGGCATTAAAACAAAACCTACTTCTATCTCTATCTTCTGAAAGGAGGATTAAAATATATCAGAGTGCAATCACAGAATGCCTTAAATAATAGAGGATTTTCTGCCATATATAAAGCACTTAAGTAACTCATTTATTTTAAATGAAGTAAAGCAGCAATTTCAGATTTGTTTGAGAAATATTTCTGAAATGTCTTTTAGCCACAGAGGATTTCTATTCTCTAAAGTGATGGGCTTCATTATTAGTCAACTTGGACACAGCATATTATCTGAGAACACAGAAATGCTGGACCACTCTAACCACCACGATGTCAGACTACACACAGAAGCCACTGAAATCCACAAGCATGTGGATAATTTCAACAGAAAGGAGAAAACCATGAAAATGAACAAAATCTTGCTACCAGTATTAAAAACTCTAGAATCAGGACAGTAAATAAACAACAACACTCAGAAAACATGGGAACTCCAGACAGGAAACAATCAGGGCCAGCTAATAATAATAATAATAATAATAATAATAATAATAATAATAATAATAATAATAATAATCTTTATTTATATACCATTCTATCTCGCCTAGGGGACTCCGGGCGGTTTCCATACATGTAATAACACAGAAAAAAATGTGCAGAGTATTCAAAATATAGACACAAAATTATTAACACACATATACATTAAAACCAGCAAACACCTCCTAAATGATCCCCCCCATGCAGGAAGCAGCCAGGCTTTGAAGCTGCAAAACTATTGAATGCTAATCAAATTGGCCAAGTGCAACATTCACACTTGCCTCAAGCAGACAGGAGTTCTTTCTCCCATCCTGGACATTCCACAGATACACAGGGTGAGGCAGCATAACTTCCTTTTTAAAAATGCGCGCCAATTTAGCCGGTTGAAGACATAGTGGAGCGCTAGTGGTCTCGTTCGAGAGGTGGGAGTATAAAGTTTTGTCCTGACACAGTTCAGTTGCCATCATGCGTTGGAACAGTGAGGAGCGTGCTTTTACCGTTGAGGCCTACTTTTTAAGCGGATTTGGAGTGGCCGGCCCGCTCTCCAGATTTGGCCCCTTGTGATTTTTTATGGGTTTTTTTTTAAATCCCGTGTTTATGTGAACCGTCCAAGGACCCTACAAGATTTGAAGACCAACATCCAGGAAAAAAATTGCCAACATAACGCCTGCTATACTGGCAAGAGTCATGACAAACGCCAGAAATCGGTTTACTCAGTGTATGGAGAATGGAGATTGGGGCACGTCACCTACCTAATTTGATCTTCAAAACTATGTAAAACAAAACTTTAGGTATGAGCCTACATTATATTTTTTTCTGATTCATAGAATGGGTTTTATTAGATTTTGAAAAAAGGAAGTTATGCTGCCTCACCCTGTATAAACCCCACTTGCTCTGTTTCCAACAGACCTCACAACCTCTAAGGATGCTTGACATAGATATGGACAAAACATCAGGAGGGGAGGCTTCTGGAACTTGGTCATACAGCCCAGAAAACTCACAGCAACCCATTATTAGTTAATTAAAATGTTTTGACAAAAATGTTAAGTATTCAAAATGTTTCATGGATATGGTAATCCTCACCTTTTTCAAAGGCATTTTCAGTTTCGATCCCCAGACTCAACCTAAAACAGCTTAGGGGAATACATATTCAAGTGTTTCAGTTGTGGGAGATGTACCCCACGGGACTGAAAAAGTGTTTGTGTGAGTTTTGAGTAAAATGCTTGCTGAAACATGTTGAACTATGATCTCTTCTTCTTTTCCTGATAGATATATCCCTATTCTTACCACATTATTTCTACCTCCACAACCAATTTTTCTATTAAAGAGGCAAATGAAGTATAACATTACTTCTAAGAAGCTCAACAGCAACACAAAAGATTTTGCTCCCCACCCCAGTACTGTTTTTGGATTGTAATAAAAGTCTTCAACTTCAGTCATATTCTTATTTTATTACATATCTTTAAAAAAAATCAGTGCAGGCATAACATTCCTTTTTTATATATACAGCATGCATCAAAGTACAATACCTTGCAGCTTTTTGTGTTTCTTCTGAAAGACCTTCCTCTTTCACAAGTTCTTCAAAATTAACAATATCCTCAAGATCAGGAACAAACCTACAAAGTTCAAACTACATTTATTCACAAATATATATATTAGCAAGTGTGTGTATTGAACATCAATTTTTCTTACATTTATTTCTGTTCAAAGTTGTTCAACTTTTTATACAAACTACCAGGCAGGCTAACTCACACCAACCCTCCAATCAGCACTGTTTAACTTGATCAGCAAAACAATGGTTTCATTAAAACAAGTTTTCTAGCCTAATGAGAATGAACAAAATGTAACAAAAACAGCAATGGGAAGCAGAAAATACAAAGGACAAGCCTCAGGGTTCCCTCAACTGCTGAAAGTACAACATCAAACCAACATTATAGATCAACAGAGTCTGCCTAGGATGTTTGACTTGTGATATTTCATTGTAAATCTGTGAAAGATTTGATTTAATAAACATAAATAAAATATATTCCATGCCATAACATTGTGGAGGCACATAAAATGGGAAAACATCATCTGCAAAAGGACTCAAAAGTATTCAAAAAGGGGCCAGCACCAGTTGGAGAAACCACAACTTTGAGTAACACTTCTCAGTATTTACAACTAGACTTTCTACATTTTCCACTACCGAAGCCCAGTCTGAATTGGTCAGACATAAGAAAAAATAGTTATGCTTGATCAGAAAAAAACATTTACCTAGTTTAATATTCTGTTCACACAGTAGGCTAACTACTTGCCTAAGGGAACTCCACAAGCAGGATTTAAATACAGAAAACGCCTTCTGTCCTGTATTCCCCAGTAACCAATACAGTGAGGTGTATTGCTTTGATAGAGGCAAGATACATCTAGCTAAGGTGAAACATGCTGCATGGACAGATTTCAAAATAAAAGGGGCTTCATGGAAAGACATGCTGAATTGTATTTGGGGCATACCTAATTGCACTGCTACAGCAGTGCAGTCCACCAGATCTTATCATCCGGACATAGCCCATGGCATTTCCTTTAAAAATGGAAAGAGAAAAAAAATGTAAACACCTGAACTTATAGTACATTTCAAAATATGTGAATGAGGACTTTGTCACTAAATTCTGAATGGGGGCAACTATCAAAGTTGCCTGTAAATTCTAAAGAAATGACTTAAATATACTCTTAAGTAATACACTTTGCCGATTACACTTAAAATTTATGGCAGGTTGTGCAGTTGTGTGAGGACTGGAGATTAGGCTTGTGCAATTTGGCCAAAAGGAATGTGTTTTGGGGTCCATTTTCGGCTAACCCCTCATTCTGTTTACTGGGAAGTTACTCGAATAGGGAGGAGTTTTCATTCGGCAAAGATTTGGCCCATGGGCTACAATGGGAAACTTTAAAGGCCTATCTGCATGAAATCTACCTCAGTTTTAGATCCCATTTACAACTGCAGGCCTGCCAAGTTTCAGGACAATTCCCCAATCTACTGATTTTTAAGAATTATTTTAAGCTTTTATCATAACATTTTTTAAATAAGACAAACTGCAAGAGAGGGTTCTGGGAATTGTAGTCTCTGGTTGTGTCCATTCTCAGCCAATCAGAGCATGGACACAAACCAGGCCTTTCATTGGCTGAGAAACAGAGAGAGAGAAACACTTCAACTCCCATCATGCTCCGAGAAGATCTCAAAGAGACCTTTCAATGCCTGGCCCATGCAAGCGCTTCTGGGAAAGCAAGTTTCCAGCAGAGCTTTCCCTGGAGGAGGAGCCTAAGGAACTTTTCCACTGCCGGGGAAGAAGAAAAGACACTGCAGAATCTTCTCCAGGAGCCCCGCAGCAGATCCCTACCTCAGTTATAATGCAGCCTTAACTGCATCCTCTCCAATATCCGATAAATCCGGCTCTCGTGATCCATTTTGCCCAGCTTTTCAGTTCCCTCCTCCCTGTTCTGTTTGTTGGGGATTAAACAAAATGGACCACCAAATATTACAAATCACTTTCGGTCAAAGTGATCCAGGCCCAAGCCTGCTGGAGATCAATTTCTTCCCTTCAACACCCTTGCAGGCCAACTCCCTAACTGCAATTTAAAAAGCCCCTGTTTCATTTGTTTTTCCATAGACAGCTACTGGAAGTGATGTAACATTACTCCCAGTCACCATTTTGGGAAGGACACGAATATGGAACTGTTTTTTCAATGACAGAGGCTCTAGAAGGTGGGTGGATGCATTGAAGGAATTAGTATGAGGTTTGGGGTGAAAATAGCCTAGAAATTATGCCATTAAAAAGGGGAGTTTGAGGGACTGTTAAGGACTGCAAAAGTGGGGCCAAAAGGACCACATGTAGCTCCTGGGCCACCTTTCCCCAATCTATGGAATTTAGGAAACTGATTCTGAAAGGATCTCATGACTGCTCCAAAATAATACACTGCATAAAATGTGTAATGCCTTGACGTTGCATAATGCAACCAATGCCAGACCTTATTTGACAATTGTAACATTAATGTACTTAAAAGTAGCTGTTTTCTTGATCTTGGACATGATCTTTAGTCTAAAGTTTTGCAAGGCATGATAGAAGCAACAGAAAATTTAAAATGGCTGTGATACACAGAGATGAACCACTGCTTCCTTGTACAAAGGTGACTGCTGTTTCTTCATCTACTTTTCACCCAATTGAGGTGACTTCCCAAAACAGTCTCAAGATGACATCAGATTTACAGTTCAGAAAGAAAAAGCAAACAAATCCTGTAGGATACCCACTCATCCTTCCTTCAGTTCTAGCTGGTATATCACTATATTACATATAGTAATGCATCTTAAGCAATTATATATTAATATTACAGTATCAATCTTCATACCTATCTGGCTTATTAGTTGCCTGAACTGGTCAAGGTAACTTTGTCCATCAGGCGTAATTCCAAGTTTTCTGATTCCCCGGTTGAATTTCTCTGCTCTTTCAAAAGGGTACTAGAAAAAAATATTGTTGTATTCATTATGAATAGGCATCAATGATAAAATACTGATTATATATCTGCCACATTTTTTCTAAACATAAACACTTTCATCTTTTAGATTCTTAGCATTTACCTGCTATATAGATTGTACAACAAACATGTTCATGTTCTATTCTGACCATATTCTAATAAGATTCCTTACCATGCTATACATACTTAGTATCTTGAACTGCAAACATCATTTGTAATTTTAAAGACATACCAACAGCAAGATGGTAAATGTCCACACTTTAACATTTTTGCATCAAAGTCCAGAACAAATATACTGTGATCTATGTACTTCTACATTCAAATCCTTTCAAGTAATTCTTTTATCACGTGTGTTAAAATCACAATAGAGGCAGACTCTAAACATACCTTGTGGTCATTTTGATCCTTAAATTCCCTAAAGAATCTGATGTCTTTGATCAGCCTGGATTTGATGTGTTCATCATACATAAACTGACTAAAGATATAAAATTTCTTTCTCAAAAACTGGTATGTGAAATTGACCTGAAATGTTAAAGAACACGCAGTAAAAGAAAGATGATCAGGATTGCACAAAATATTAAAATAGTATTCACCTTCATTCCCCATTTAATCCGAAACTCATACTTGATTTAACACAATTTTAGTCTGTTCAACAATATTAACACATCTCTACAATATATTTCAAAGGGCAAATTACTGCCCTGTCATTCTGCAACGATTACTGCTTGCACATGGAGATGAATAAAGTCTTTGTTCAGGAAAAAGATGTCATGTTTGGATGACATGCCTACTTTCCATACTCCTTGTTTAATATGGTTAGCCATAGAAAAGTGGTGTTCACTCTGAAACTATAATCATTTCTTTGCTGAAATATTTCTATTCCATTTTTACAAGATGAGATACAAGTAAAATCAACATAAACAGATAAAAACAAGAAAAACATTGAAAAGGCTGGAAACAATTTTAAACTGCTTTAAGACCATGAGCATAAGCGTTTTGAAACAAATCAGTTATGTCCAATAGCTTTAGTAAACAGCCATTTTTTAACTTAGCACCTGAATGAAAAATGCTGCCTTCAATCACTATTCTAAGAAAACATTCCACAACTGTAGTGTCAAGCTGAAAATTGACCACAATATGTGCATAATTCTCCTACATCGTATTCCTATGGTACTCAATGTACACTATCACTTTTGAGTTTTCCATCTTCAAAGCTGTTGGTCTAAAACTACTGAAATTATACTACTACATACATAATATCCACTACTACTATTTTTAAACACACTGAACAAGTGGATACCAAAACATGTGTTTTGTTAGCCCTAGCGCTCGGAGTGAGAGACAGAAGGGAGGCCGTGATACAAAAATTAGCACTTTAAAACTGAAAACTGGGATACAACAAGAAGATTTTGGCTCCACAGAAAAATGTTCTTTGAGATCTACTGGATTTGACAGGCAAAGCACCCAAACCAGTGGACAATACATTCGTGTTTATAAAAACTAATTCACAAAGTTTTGAGATATGAAACTAAAAACAAGCTGCTCTTATACCATTGATCTAGGTAGTCCTTCCCCCAGCGTTGCTACTTATTTTTTTTACTAAAGAGACAAGGGACTGAACCTGAGGCTACACTATAGTCACTAAGCAATAGCAACTAACCCAGAATTTCAACCCAGAATTTCAAAGTGCCTCAAACAAAGAGCTCCATTCATCAATGGAAGAGAATGACAAGAAGGATATTGATATTGTCCCTACATATTGCTCTGTGATTTCTTTGTCAAATAAACAATTATAAGCCATTAATATTTAGCAAAGTGAAAAATATTTATTTCATGTTTTATACTAACATTTTATTCAGTGCATTTCAAGTTTGCCTTTCCCACACCTTCTCGGAGTTGAATTTGAAAAAGTACAGCTTAAGACATTGTACTCTCATTGCACTGCAAGCAATACTTAGCAAACCATTTTCAGTTAATATATGAAAGAAGAGAGCTTCCTGAGCTCATCCTGCAGCACTTACTGTTGTATTCATGATTCCTGTGCCATGTGTTCGAATAGAATTAGCAATGTGCCTTATATTTATGGTGTTAAGATGCTTGTTATTGCTGATTCTCTCAATGAAGATCTACAAGAAAACATATATAGTTGCAGTAACATTGAAGGGGAAACCAGACAATAATTAGGATTTTTAAAATGAGTACTTCGGCCTCACCTGATTATTGAGATTGTAGAGGTATCTGGATACAAACACATGAATATTTCTCATAATTTCCAGGACATCTAGACCCTAAAATGATAACGTTAGGTGATTTAACCACAATCATGTATAGAAATAATCCAATTATTACTACCTGAATTATAAGCAAGCATATATATAGAATTCTATATTGACTGAAATTTGATGACTACCTCAAGGTCAAGTAATAGACAAAAATAAAATTGGTAGACCAAGTGATGTACCTGTTCTAAAGTTTGACTAGGAAGATGTGCTTCTGTCATAGTTAAGCCATAGCGCTGGGTTGCCAAATTCCTCATTTCACTATATGTGGCCCAGTCATGAAGTGCTACTGTGGTTAAATTGTAGAAAGTCTTGTCTAGATAATGGGTCACATGAGCTGTAAATGAGACAAAAATGTTTATTTTTAGTATTCATAAGTGAGGAACAATAAAAGGACATCCATTCCTGACATACTATTTCAAACTGTGAAATTTGAGAAATTTCCAATGCTATAAAATCTTCTGGAACCACAAATATCATAAAAGTCAAGGAGAGATCGACTGCCCACAAAAAAAAGCAAAGAGACAACAATAGAAACGGAGTTACTGTGTTACAAAACTTCTCAGAAAAACTTTTAAAGTAATTATGAAGTAGAGCCTACCTTTGATATCTATGAACCTATTAAAAAAGCGAATTGGGTTCAAAGAGAAGAAGTGTGCAAGGTCCTTCATGCCAACTTTGAATGGATTTCGGTCATCTAACTTTAAGTGCGTATGAACAGAAAGGCGTAAATCCTTTTCTATTTCTTTACATAATTTGTCCAGAAGGTGCTGCTCAAAACAAAATTAAAAATATACATATTTATATCACACTTTCATGAGATGGATATTCATTTATCTAAACCAGGATAAAAATGAGTTTGAGATTCATAATGTATGTTAAGTCATTGATTCACTATTGCTTTCCTAGTGAAGCCACCTAACTTTCAAGATCCACCAATTAATGTTCAAATTAAAAGTATGCTTCATTGTATTAGGTCTTTAGCCTAGAACAAAAATTCAGCAGGCAAATATTTCGTAACTCGCAATTTCATACTCTGTAACCACCCTAGTCATATTATAATTATACTTATCCACTGTACTTAAATAAAATCAGTTATGTAAGTGTAATTCAAAACACAGCTCTGATTCAAAAGTAGTTATGACTGTTCCCTTAGAAAAGTGGTTCCCAACCTTTTTTTGACCAGGGACCACTTGACCAGGGATCATTTTGACAGGGCCTACTCTCCAACATTAGTACCAAAAGGGTTACAAATCAGTCAATTGGTCAATTTAGATTTGATGTATTGTCGAAGGCTTTCATGGCTGAAATCACTAAGTTCTTATGGTTTTTTTTTGGCTATATGACCATGTTCTAGAGGCATTTCTCTTATTGCAGGCGAAACGTCAGGAGAAATGCCTCTAGAACATGGCCATATAGCCCGAAAAAACCCACAAGAACTTAGTAATTTAGATTTGGTTTTGTTATTTGGGTGTTGATTCAGAAAACTGCACTGGATAGATCACATCAGCTCTAGTTTCTGATACAGAACACATGCCATCCAGTAGTCGCCATCTGCTCGCCCATAGAAAACCATATTTAATAATCTAGAACTGGTGTGGTAGTAGTAATCTTTCGTGGGTAGTCAGCCTCTCCCCTCCCAACATCCCTGCTGCCTCAGCACTATAAGAGGGTTTTGCAAGAGGGTTTTGCAAGACACTATAAGAGGGTTTTGCAAGTTGCTCTTGTTGCAGCGTGGTTTTGAGGAAACGGTGTAGTAATGGTGAGGCCACGGACCATATTTTTATTTTTGCAGACCACCGATAGATAGTCCATAGACCACAGGTTGGGAACCACTGTCTTAGAACTACAGTGCATTTTCTCTAATTACAAGCTCTTAAGAAATAATGCATATACCACCAGTAACAAGGATTCACATTTTAAAAGATATTTAAGTATAATGTTTTGTAAGGTTTTTATCTACAAAATACTACACAGTGTATTGAAGTGTTTTTATTTATACCAATAGAATGATGCATATGTACTAATCCTCATGCCCACAAAATAACACAATAGCTTAAATTAACATATATTTCTGACAGTTTTCAAACTGAACACACACAATGGCTGCATTATTACCTTATTTAAAACATCCATGATTTCTCTGTCATAACTTTCTAGAAGAATTTCATGGGATTCTAAATGCCTTGAGTGCATCATAGCTGGAACACAATCCCTCAATGCATTAAACATGTACTGTAAAAAAGTTTCAAAAAAATAAAGAACTCAGACAGATGAAATGGACTAACACGTACTTTAAGAAACATAGGCAACTCAAACTCAGAGTACCAAACAATAATAGCTATGATCAGTAGCAAGGCTGAAAGCATATGGATATTAAACTACAGTTTAGGGTTTTGAATGGAAGCTCCCATGAACCTTAACCTTGGCTACATCTTTCCACCTCTCTCTGACACCAGGACAGCTCTGAATACACTGGAAGCACCTGCTTCCTTTTTAGATTAAACTCATGTGGCAGTTAGGACTATCCATCTTTCAAACTGTTTTAAACTATAATTGCAACTCATGACTTTAAGGCGCAAACACACATCTGGCCACTGTAGAAAACATTAAAATAATTTACATTGAAGAATATAAATGAAACAAACAAGAATATTTTGAAATTTAAAGAGAACTGGAATTGAATATTATTTGAGTTGCCAATTCTTCTCAGTAAAATATTGAGTTTGACTGGTTTTAAAGTGCTCAAAAGGAAAATAATTTAGACACTGATGAATGAAATTGAGATATAAAATACTCCCCTAGAGGTACTTTCAAAATATAACTGTGATATTTATTTTAGGGTTTTAGTGATTTGTGATTTAAGACATCTTGAAGTTTGTACACTGTAAATGTGGGGGCTTGATCATAGAATATACATTATACGGCAGTAGTACAATTTTTATAGGGCGGCAGAATATTTTCTGTTTTCAGAGTATCTGATGGTTGACAAATACTTTATCATGATTAATCCATTTGAATATAAACATATCAAGTCCTTATATTCATTTATAACAAAGTGATGCTCACTTTCTCAACTGATATTTTTCCTTTGACTTGCATTTTGATTGTAACAGAGTATTTCCCCATAAAATGTGTACAGCTCCGATTCCATTTCTGATAACATTTACAGTTTTATTCTTTCATTATCATTTTTATAGTCCTTTTTTCTCAATGTTGATGGGACACCCCCCTTCTATTTGAAATCTAAATAAGCTTCAAACTTCCATTAAGCCTGTCTAAAATCTCTAGGTCAATGTGTTTCAAAAGCATATTTTAAAGTAGTTAAATTAAAACATGAAGTTTATGAATGAGCCTTAGGTTTTCTTTTTCTTTCTTTCCACTTATCCTCTGGCAGAAAGAAAGAAATCAATCTACTTACATGCAGTCTAGCAGCATCTATTGCATTTTCATAGACATCATCCAGATAAATTGGAAATACAGTTCTATGCCAGTACAGGAAGCAGCAGTCACATTGTACTTGAACTCTACAATGTGAAATTAGTTCAATTACACCAAAAGAAAGAAACATTCATGATTTCTACAGAACCGTTTCTGAAAGATAATTTATTTACATCACTAGGGGCACATCTAAACTGACCATTAATGAAGCGTGGAACTCATTTGAGAGAAACTAGATGTGCTGCGCAGATGATTAGATTGCCACACCAGGAATTGGTTTGAGGCCAAAACATTGAACACAGAACACAGCCTCAAACTGCTCAGCAGGTTTTTTTTCTCCATGTTCTGCAGAAATGCACATTAGCACATCAGAGGCATACAGGATAGAAAAAAAATTAAAGTAACAGTTAAGTGCAGAAGTAATCAATTACACCAAGAGGGTCAATCAGCACCATGCTTCCCAGCCATGCCCTTGGGCATTTTCTGGCAGCTCCCATTCTGGATTTTATAATGGGCTACAGCAAGAATGTGTGCCTACAATACACTCTGCATTTTGGAGTGCAGACTCCACCCTCCACCCCACCCCGATCTCAACTATATTGAGATCTACTGCAGCGTATTTTATGTCTTGTTTAATAATTGGTGCTGCAACATATATTGGCAATAAGCATTTTGTGGCCACCCTGGCTTCGAGTAATCTCAAAGCTGCATTAAATGGTCAGTGTAGATGGAGTATAAGTCTGGGACCCAAACGTATACATCTAGGACCTATTAGTCCAGTCATGCTCTTATTGCAGCAGAGGAAAAAAGTAAAATCATACCTATCTGCTTGAATTAAATAGGCGATAGTGACTTGCCCCTTAAATATAGCATTAAAAACTACAAGCAATTTAGAGCAAACATCTGCTCACTTTCAATGGTATTCCCACTATTTGCTACTAAGCTCTGGCTGTCAATGTCTAAAAAACATGTAACATGAGTAAAATATTTGTTTTTTATTTTTTTCTCCAGACAGCTGTCAGGGTGTGATTTGCCACCCATTTCAGCAGTATGGTTGGGGAGTGAATCTTCAAAATATCATGCCAGGCTATACTATTTTCTCTCTATTATTGTTTGATATTACTTACCGTTCCCTAAGTTCACTGATTAAGGCCAATTTTTTCATCACTACTTGAAGAGGAAGGAGTTCTTCATCTTTAAATGTTTTCTGAAAGAAATCAAAGAGAAAATAGGCACAGAGAAGTATCAGAGTAATAGCTGAATCAGAACCATTTATATCACTGCTAATACAACTACTTAGTATTCAGATGCAGGAGGAACTATTGTACATACCATCTGTGTGCCCACACTGAGAGCCAGAGATATAATGAGCCGCCTCTGTTTTGTGCTGGGACCAGTGAGGGTATTCTCAGCCAGAACAAGTGCAGAGAGTACATCAAGGCGCTGTTCACTGTACTTTTTGTCAGAAATTACTCTTTTCTTGAGAGGAAGAAAATAACATTTAGGAGCAGTCAAACATTTCCATAAATAAGAGTGCAAAATTTGCTTTTGCTTGGTTCCACAGGTTCATGCAAATCCACATATAAATGTAACTTAGCTTTACAGTTGTCCCTCCACATTTGTGAATTTAACTGTCACAGATTTGATTATTTGCAAATTATTTGCTGCCCCCTCCACTGCCATTTTAATAGGTAACCCCAGTGTTACTGGAATTTATCATGGTTTTAGGACTCAAAACAAAAAGGGAGAACTCCAACTGTTATAGAACTAGTCATTTTCATTATACTAAATTTGGAAGCACTATCTGCAACTTCACATACCTTGGCTATAGCAATGGCGTTAAGAGCTTGATGCTGAAGATGCTGGATTATGTGTGTGACTGAATCAGCAACAATCATACTTCTTCTGTAAAACGTATGCTCTATTGCCTGAAATTAGCCAAATTTCAAAACACAATAATATCACAATTCAGTTTACTTCTATACTTGCTGCAGCCACCATATGAAGTAATATTTTCCCCAAATCTTCAGCAGCTTCAATCAAAATGAAAGAAGCTATTTGGAAACCTCACATGACCTCAGTTTTGCAGAGTACTGTAGGATACAAAAGGAAAAATATCCCTTCATAATCTAATTACCTGCATACTTACCTGCATAATCTAATTACCGGATCACTGCTTTATTCCATCTAAAATATCCCGCTCAGTATTTCTAGGATGATGACAAGGTGAAATTCTGCTGATTTCACCAATATTCAGCAGCATCATGGAGATGGTGGGAAGAGTTTAAATTTACCCTCACTACAAAAACAGTATGTAACAGTACATAACATCATAAGGATGAAGGTGAGGTTAAAACCTTACAATATTCCCAGGAAGTGTACAGGCAACCTGGTCCCAAACCATGTAGGGCTTTAAAGGTCTAAACCAACACTTTGTTCATATACATGTGAACAACCTTCAGAGACCCATTAAAATATAAAGGCGCACTCAAACCAATGCCCTGCCCAATTGAGTATATCTTAATTACTAAAGTAACATGCCTCGTTTCTCTCTTCCTTCTTCCCACTCTCAGAATTAAAAAGATGTCTCACAACCCCCTCCTCACTGATGAAAAACTATAAATATTAGGTTGACTAAGAAACATCGAAGCATTGCTACTTACTTTAAGAAGTTCCACCATCCTGCACAATGCTTTAACTGAGGTTTTAGTCATTGGCTTCTGCATGGACATGTGCAGATTCATTGTCGTTTTAATGATGTTACTAAGGCTGTAAGCATACAGAAACCCCTAGACAGAAATGTGAGGGGGAAATTAGCCACTGCATATCTAGATCATAAACAAATTCAGGTTCACATACTTGTACTATCCCAAATGAATAGTTTTCCAATAAACAAGTGAATTCTTATAATTAGAAACAAAAATCAGGAACACAGCAGTGATTACTTAGGATCCTTCCAGATAAACACTATATTCCAGGACCTGATCTCAGATTATAATCCAGTTTAAAGCAGAAAACCTGGGATCAGAACCTGGGATACAAGGCCTATCTGGAAGGGCCCTTAGATGTATGAAAATGAAACTTTAAGTCATCACTACATCTAAACAGAGCTAGTTTATCAGAACAAAGTATAAATTCTCAACTGAAACATCCAGATTTCTGCAACATAAACATTCTTGGCTGATGGTATATTTTCTTTAAAAATGCAAGGATATCTAGGGTGGGTATTTCAAAAGGTTTAACTGCCAGAAGAATGAGAGAAGCTCTTCATTTACATTGTTTCTTCAAAAAATTGCCTAGTTCAGACAGAAAGCCAATCATCATTTGGTGCTATGTGAAGATGTCCAAAAAAAGTCTTTGGCTCAGTCATTCCTTCCTTCTTTCTTCTCCATATGATTAGCAAACTACTATTTCCAATTGTATTCAAACAGAGAAACTGCAGGCTGAATCCTACCAAGTCAACCTTAGACTAAAGCCACTGAAATCACAACAATCCAAGTTAGTAATGTGTTGCTTAAGTCAATTCATTTTAATGGTTTTTTCCAAGCTTGTCTCAGTATGGATCCAAACAATATGTTAAAATCCAGAATTGTAAAACATTTTCCAGTCAAAATGTAACCAGTAACCATGGAATAAATTGTAGTGCATAAGATGAATGAGAGGAAGAATTCCACCAAACTATGTTTTGGCACTCAATCTGAATTAAGCCCCGGTTCAGCAAATATAGAAATATTCATCTAACTGAAAATTGAGCCACATTTCCTCAGCATGACTTTTTATGGTGCAGTACACACCTGTATAAAAACATTGCACCTGTTGGTTGGATCTTCTGCAAACTTATCCTTTCGTTGTTCCTTTGATAAAATAGATTCCATTTTCATCATCCAAGAGCTAACAAACACGTAATACGACTGCATTTCTCTGAAGAAAAAGCAAATAGGTTTACCTAATTATTCAAACAAATACACTAAAAAGAAGCTTACTTGTGGTTTGAAAATATGATAAAGGGGTTAAGAAGCACACTTCATAATTTAAAAAGTATAGGAGTGTAATTACCACACCATCTGAATGATGCCATGAATTACTCCTGAAAATATTTGTATGAACTTCAAAGGCTCATTCTCACAGAGAAGATTTTTTAAATAACTAACTTCATTAGACAAAAGCAAAGCAATATCATGACATAAACAGGAGAATTTCCTATGTACAACATGACAGTTTCAAAAATGTTTCATAATTATTTGAAGAAAAATCTTGCTTCTGCATGGCAAGCTGCTACACAAGATAGCATTTTGGATGAAGACAATTGTGATGAAGAACCCTTCAAAAGCTTCAACACTTCCACACTGACTGGTTTCATTAGTACTAGTCTTTTAACCAAATGAGCCAGCGTTGTCCGTAGACACCTCCAAGGTAATGTGGCTGGCGTATCTGCATGGAGCGCCATTACTTTCCCGTTTAACCTGTACCTATTGATCTACTCACATTTGCATGTTTTCAAACTACTAGGTTGGAAAAAAACTGGGGCTAACAACAGGAGCTCACCCCATCCATGGATCTGAACTGCCAGCCTTCCAATCAGCAACTTCTGCAGCTTAGCGGTTTAACCCACTGCACTACCACATTCCTATTACTTGCTAAGCCTCCTGCAATCTCCTCATATTTTGGCCAGTACGTTCTATAGTGCTGAGGTTTCCCCTCAAAAAAATGTTATTTCCCCAACTCCCAGTAGCCATGGCAGGAACAAAAAAGTAGGAAAGTAATGGTGACAGCAGAGCAGTGGCACTTAAGTACCCTGTTTACTGTCGGAAGAGAAGTCCTGTGTCTAATGTATTGTTTTAAAACACATTGCCTGCTTCCTGGGAACAAAGACATTTGACATATGTGGCTGAGAAGATGTCCTACTATCTCTTTATTTCCAGGACCTGTGGGAGCAAGAACGGCACTTTAAATAGAGCTGGCTGTCATGAATACTCCCCTTCAAGCAAGGAACATGCTCTCTCCAAATTGCCTTTTTTGTTTTTAGGAGCCCTAAACCAAAAACATATGAGAAATTATCTGTGCAGCTTTACTTCCAGCTGATTTTCTAGGATCCCTAGAAGCAAGCAAGGCATTTTAGAAAAACAGCTCTTGTTGCTGCTGCTACCGTCACTGCTAGCATTTTTTCCTATGGAGGAAACTGTGGAAAATTGGCACGGACAACCAAAATTTGGAAAGAAATAAAATTGGTACTTTTAATGTACTGACCATTCTCACCTTGCTTTAAAATTTCAGTTTAAATGTCCTGATTATGTACAGAAAAACAAGCATGCACCAATAAGAAAGAAAGGCATTATCCTATTAAAACTTACTTGGTAAGTGACTGGGCCTTCTGCTGTAGAAAACTTTCTCTATTTAACTTAATGGACTGAAAGGTTTTCTTGTCCAGAAGTTTGGCGGCAGCTGGCATTTTCTGGCTCAGAAAGGAGTCAGCAAACCAAATTATATTAGCAGTAAGAGTTATAGCCGGCACCTAGAGCATTAAACATTAAAATATTGTCAAAAAGGGGGACAAGTTCACATTAGAGGAGATGCCAGTTTTCTCATGTCAATGCAATTCAAGTGCATGATGAAAACTATGCTGTCACTAAACTACTTACATAAATGTAGACCATATAGGCATGTACGCTCTTAAAGTTCCACTAAGTATTTCAGGAATACATACATAACAGCACAGGTTTAAAACCCATTTAAAATAATATAAATAAATTTCTTTCTGCATAAAGTAATTTAAGCTCTGCTATATCAAAATGGAACAGACACCAGTGCTATGGAAAGGAAGCCAAGGTATGACTAAGGGAACTAAAGCAAGCTTCTCATGGTTCCTAGTATCGTAGAAGAAAGATTACTATATATGCTCATTTTGATATGACACATGGATAGGTTGAGGGGAAAGCACCATTACCACCTTGGGAAGCCAGCCACTGCTGGCTGCTGTTGCTATTTTCACTCCCAAGCTTTCAAAAAAGCCAAAAGCAGTGCTGTCATAGAGTAGGAGGTGGTGCTTCTTTTAGATTCTCCCAGGATAGTCTAAGTCAGGCATGGGCAAACTTTGACCCACCGGGTATTTTGGACCCCAACTCTCACAATTCCTAACAGCCAGTAGGCTGTTAGGTATTGTGAAAGTTGAGTCAAAAACATCTGGAAGGCCAAAGTTTGCCCATGCCTGGTCTAAGATCTCACCTTTTATTGGCTTACTCAGAAAAATGGACAGTTAGCTTGTTGATATGAATTGAAGTAGAGTTGTCACATTGACCCAGTGTTTTGGGGTTGATTTTAAACTAAAATTTCTAGACTTATGCATAAGTTTATAGCGTACTTCCTCTAGTATCAGAGCATCTGTGCATTAACATTGTAGCTGTCTGACTGAAATGGATTTGATGAGACAAGTACAATAGGCATGACAACTCTGTACCATTTGCTTTGCACAGGATCACTTTCAATCAAGGAGGAACATGACTAGAGACTACTGTCACTACAATTCAATCCCTAAATAAGACTGTTTAGCTACATATTTTAGGTAATTTATTACCCTAACAAGGTTGCATTTTCTATATAACTAAAGAAAAGATTCTATGCTTCCCAATATACTGGTGTGGATGCAACATTAACTATATTATACTTAATATAAGGGCCACCAAAAAGTAAATTTTAGTTTACAGCAGATAAATATCTAGGGCAGTAACTATCCATGTTACATGGTTAGAATTAAAGCTCATAAAAACTGACAAAGTTTTACTACATTCTTTGCCAAACAACCTGAATGCTATATAGTAAGAATAAAGATTAAATGTTATCAGTTCCTTAGCTGTACATAAGTGATGAGTTTTTGCTATTCAGAAAGAAAAAGAAATTCATATCATGAAAACAATGAAGTATTATAGTTATTTTAAAGCTAGATTTACTAGTTCTGGTTCTAATAACTGACTACTGGTGACAAATTATTTATTGCAATCTAAAACTCAAGGAATTGCATGAAATTATATTTATCAAACGTTTTTATTTCACATTGTGTGTGAAATATTAGAGGAAAGTTACAAACAGCAAAATCTTCACCTTTTTGCAAATGTCCAGTAATGATTTGTAAAATTTCTTGTCTATAGTCCGAAAAATCTGAAAATGCAGCACAAAGAGCCCACAAATTCCTACGTATTTATCTCTCTGGTCAATTTCTGAGGGTTCACCTTGTACAAATACACACAGAAAAGAATATTTTTGAAGTTTGCCACTAGACGAACAAGTTAACAACTTTTACAAACAATAATAACAATGTAATAGTGTCTAATTTGCATTACCAAGCTTAGCTTCAATATTGGTAAAAATTGTGCGAATACTATGTGCAAACTCCTCGGCAAAAGTGCTGTTCTTCGACACTGACACCCCACCATTCAGGGAATCAAACTGCTGTTCTATACAAGCCTGAATGAGGATGAGAAATGACAATGATTTACAACGTTACCATTGCGGGTTTTATGAGTTCAGACAATTTAAATTACAGGTTGTCCTCTTTAGAGTTCTACTCAATAAAATCAGACTCAAACTCTAATTAAATGGAAATCTTTATACAGTAGCTATGCATTGCTGGCTTTTCTTGCTGTAACCTTGCTGTTAGTTTGGTAAGGGAACAATTTAGAAAACTGAACACAATTCTAGACTAATGACTGTGAGTAAAACCTTAATGCTGACTAAATATAATATAAAACTACAGGAAAGACTGAAGACTGGTGTATGACATATGTTTTGTATCTCAAAATCTAGAGCTGATAGGGTGGAACGGGTGCCACTTTTGAAATCATTTAGTCAAATATGCCCTTAAACAGGCCTAACATTTGAGGTACCAAAATGTGTTGGCCAGTGCAATCATTTTGTATGAACTCAGGATTTGCTCACAAACAGGACAGAATTTACATGCTAACAACAAACCAGTTGGTTGTTTATTTGGAATCCTGGTCTGTTTGGAAACCAGCATACAGGTTTTGTATGTAATGGCTGAGGTATCAATTTCTGATTATTTTTTACCACTATTTGACTGGAAGAGCAGGATGGAAGCAATTGATCTTTGTGCATCAGGGTGATTTTTACTCCCAGTTAAACCAGAAAAAAATAAGGAATTCTGTCTTGGAACCAAAAGTTGACATCAGACATTTATTATAGTCTCACCCATAGAAAACCATGACAATGATATCTAAGAAACTAGAGTTGATGTGGTCTATTCAATGCAATTTTCTTAAACAGTGCCCCAATCAACTCCAGAAACAGGTCTACAATCAATACACCAATATGTTGTTTTTGTTGGGCTGTGTCAGCTACCAATATCTGGTTAGCTTTACCTGCTTGGCCAAAGAAAATATCTATCCATTTTGATAAACAGCTTTTCAAACAGAAAAAAACTCTTTCAAAATCCCATTAAGAATGCTTTTGGATGTACCCAAATTAGTGTTTAGAACAGTTAATCTTTTGCACTATAGTTCAATGAATCAACCAGCCAACAGATTCAAGCATTAGATAACTAGCATATGAAAGCAGGATCATACAATTTAAATCACAAAATCACAAATTTAATTGGAACTGCTTTCATAATACAAGCTTCCAGCTCTATAGAATCTTATAAGCTACATTTATACCCCATTACCAGGAACACAAACTTGTGGTTCTTTATTTTCTGTTGAGATAAAAGTCCCAGATATCCTAGCTCAGTGAAAGGTGAAAGAAGCTGGAGACTAGTACCATCTGGTAGGCTATACATTTCTCATTCCAACAGTATGAGCAGCATAAGCAACTGCGTATTTATTATATTACCTGAAATATCATCCCATCCAGTAACTGGCTTTCTAGTTTTAATAGCAGCTTTTCAAATGGTTTCAATTTCTCTTCCTGCATTCCAAATTTAGAAGGATTGTGATGGACAGATTTTAGTAACCTGACACAACAAAGCAAAAGTCAAACCATTAAAAATAAACCAAATTGCCATAGATAGATAAGATTTAGGATTGGGGGGGGGGGTGGAAAGGAGAAATTTCCACAGGATTTTGGAAGAGCAGGAAAATTATATGAACAAGGGAATGCTTACCTTTAAATAAAAGGTGCCCAAGGAGTTTTGGATTATTTTGCACTGAACAATGCCTTGGAGCTACTTCAAATGGCATCCCTCTTGCTTAGCAATGTTTCTGGGACATAATAATCCTAGAAATTATACTAAATAATTTTTAGGGGTGGATGTCTGCCTCTGTTGTGGCCACACAATTACAAAGTAGGTAATTTAAGAGCAATTTACCGCAGTTCAATCACTGTACCAATAACTACGATCACAGATAGGGCCACATGATGCTTAGTGGGTGTTGTGTAGATTTTGAACAAGAGGCTGGGGAGGAATTACCAGAACATACATAAACCAAAGCTACATAGTTTATTCAGTGCAATACAGCAAAGCTTCTATTCAGGCTTCACTAAAATGGATAGTCTTAGTGTAGCACTACTCTTTCAAATGACCACCACATTGATATATGTTTCTACCATGCAAGTGAACATCCACTTAAAAATTTATTCACATACCTTTTGTACATAGTCCAGTGATCTTTCAGTGTAGCATGATTATATATTATCTCATCCAATGTGAGTAAAACTGTCAGGAGTTCCCCGAGATGCTCATACATAGCCTGTTTGGAACATCACATAATTCATTATGGATTTAGATTATAATTTCATACCCACTTTTTAGGTGATAAGCCCTCAACAAGTCAGTGGAATTCATTTTTTTGTATACCTGAGAATCCATGCCTAAAAGTTCTCTTCACTAATCTGGAGCATAGAGCATAGCTAATAAGAAGGGACTCCTGAAGGAAAGAGGCATTCTGATCCTATTAAAAACCTAGGTTTTTTACTATTGACATCCTGCTCTCAAAGAAATAGATGGACTGATCTAGCCTCCATAATGTTTATAAACATCATGTCAAAATCCTTAAATATTCCTTACCTGAAAATGAACTCCTGATGTCTCTATAACTTTAGGCGTAGTCCTGAAAAAACAGAATCACACTATACATCACACCACTGAATTAAATTATTTTTTTTACGGGCACACATTTTTATAGTTAGGAAATACAATACAACTGGAGTTTCTAATATGCAAGATTAGAACCCATTATTTGTGACCACTAAAAAGTTGAATCAAATTTATAAATCACATTATATCATACCACATAACCCTGCATGAGTTTGAGCCACAAAACTAAATACTGCCCACAAAACAAACATTTTGGTCCTTCACAGCCTTTTTTCTTTTTTCATAATTCCTGATAGATTACATTTACTAGTAAATGGCATTCAATCTAGTGAGTCACAAGAACTGAAAAAGTCTTTCCAATCTTGAATTCCTAACAGTAATTTGTATCTATAAAAATCCCATCATTTAACTTTTTGTTTTCAAAGTTTTTCATTTTAGGAAAACAGGGAAAACTGTAACACAGTATATTTACAAGATGCCATAATACTGACATTAACAACTGTAACATACTACAAAATTTCCCAGTGATGCCAAACCCCTCAACTAATGCATCTAATTCAATTCAGTTTTCTGCACTGGACACTCACAAAAGGCTCTGACTTCAAATGGCTTCAGTATCAGGAAGTTATTTCTTCCATCTTTTCAAATGTTGACAGTGGTAACCTCATCTCACCACAATTTGAAGTTTACAGCATGAGCCACAAAACAGCATGCATAGAAGTTTTTGCTTCTATTTGATTAGCTGCTAAACCCACCCCAAGTCTGGTAATCTTAACTATGGTTAGTGGAAATAAACCAACCTCACCGTTCCATTAGCTATTGCTAAGATTACCTTAACAATAGCAATCCTGGCGGAAGCTATTATCTATTTAATTGTATATCTAAATGTAGGAAAATTGTCCTTTTTTAAATTATGAACCCTGTTTCAGCTACACACCTCATATTCCTTCTTAGAATATGTAACATCACACCAACATGATGTACTTTTGATCTGTGTATTCAACAAATAAATGTAAAAGACAGCATGTTGCAAATTAATTACTTGTTACTAGTATAAAGAACAGCCAACTGGTGAACTACATTCATCACTACTTCATAGCACCGTGTCACAAAGCAAGACAGCTCCTGAAAGAAAAAGAAGGGGGGGGGGGAGGAGAAATGAGTAAAATCTCCAACAATTTCTGAGAAGTTTTGAAACTGGTGCACCACATTAGCAATTACTGTTATCAGCTTTGCAGCAGGAAACTGACTGCTGTCCACACTCAACTGATCCATCTTCAAGGAGACAATGCCTTTTGAAGCCACACCAGAAGGGAGAAAGAGGTGGGTGCACCTTAATTGAAAGTACAAGTTGGGACTAGCATACATAAGGACGCCCTACTATTTAAAAGCCCCTTTTCTGTAGTTGTTCCTGTCCCGGAATGATCATCTTTCATTCTCCAATGGCTCCAGCAGTCAACATTAAACACTGATTTGAGCCTCTGAGGTCTGAGGTGGGAATTACTAAGAGAGAAGACCCTTCCCACCTGTGAATATGTTGTAAGAGGCAGTGGTGAGATTATTATTATTATTATTATTATTATTATTATTATTATTATTATCTTTATTTATTTGTACCCCGCTAGCATCTCCCGAAGGACTCGATGCGGCTTACAAAGGCCAAGGCCTCAAAACACAACATAACAATACAACACCTAAAGCAAATTAAAAACAGTTAAAGCAATATAAACAACAAGCAATAAACAATACATCAAGACACTATAAAACTGGGCCGGGCCAGAGTAATGGGTACAGGATTCAAAGTGCTGATGTGACAGGTGATATGTAAGGATTATAGGGCAAGTGCAGTGTGCGGTGTGCAGCAATCTCAGTTCTAATAAAGTGCTTCTGGGACTTGTTATTGGAGATTCCTATTCTGGAAAAGCACATCGGAACAGCCAGGTCTTCAAGTTCTTTCTAAAGACTGCCAATGTAGGGGCCTGTCTAAGATTTTTTGAGAGGGTGTTCCAGAGTCAGGGGGCCACCACAAAAAAGGCCCTGTCTCGCGTCCCCACCAAACGCACCTGCGACGCTGGCGGGATCACGAGCAGGGCCTCTCCAGATGAACGAAGTTAGTGCGTGGGTTCGTAAACGGAGATACAGTCACGCAGGTAGGATGGTCCCAAACTGTTTAGGGCTTTGTAGGTGAGCACCTGCACCTTAAATTTGGCTCGGAAAATAAACGGCAGCCAGTGGAGCTCCTTGAACAGGAGGGTTGACCTCTCTCTGTAAGGAATATCCACCCCATGGTGTGGGTTGGGGTGCCATTAAAGCTAGGCATTATTATTTCTATCTCATCTTTCTCCCCATGACGACTCAAAGTGGTTAACATCTATCCACACTAAACAGTTCAAAAAGAGTAATACAATAGTTAAAAAAACAATTATATAATAACAGTGTGGTAAAAACAGAATTAAAATACAGCAAACACATTAAAATGGCCTTTAAAACTCATATACCCCAATCCCCCAGAGCCTCCCCTTCCACTTTCCCTTCCCCAAAAGCCTGTTGACCTGTTTGGAGAAGGCCAGCAGAGATGGGACCATTCTGGTTTCTCTTTGGAGGTAATTCCACAGCCTGGGAGCAGCCACTGAAAAGGCCCTCTCCCTTGTTCCCACCAAATGTGCTTGAATGGGTGATGGGACCAAGAGAATGCCCTCTCCAGTAGATCATAGATGTCTTCCAAATTCATAGAAAGAGGCATGGTTCTTCAGATAACCTGGACCAGAGCCATATAGGGCTTTATAGGTCAAAATCAGCACTTTGAATTGTGCTCTGAAACAGGTTGGCAGCCAGTGGAACTGTTACAACAGAGGAGTTGTATGCTTCCTGTACCCAGCCCCAGTAAGCAGTCTGGCTGCTGCTCTTTGGACCAACTGAAGTTTCCAAGCACTGTTCAAAGGCAGCCCCATGTAGAGTGCCTTACAGTAATCCAACCGGGATGTGAACAAGGCATGTACCACCTTGGCTAGATCTGACTTCTCCAGAAACAGTTGCAATTGACGCACTAGCTTTAAAGGCAAACTGTGTTTTCAGAGGGAGTGGAACCCCATCTAACACAGGCTGACTCCCTATTCCCTGATCCGTCTTATGACTGAGTAGGAGCACCTCTGTCTTGTCTGGATTAAGCTTCAATTTGTTTGCCCTCATCCATTTGGTCCTGGCTCCCCACCTTATAATAAACATATTCAATAGATCACTGTAACTCCACCTCCCCGTCCCCCAGGCCTTGCCTGCTGCAGCACAGAGAATCCTGGGGGGCAGAGCTGAGAGAGATTGACTCTTCCAGTGTCATCCAGCCAGGTCTCCATTTATGTGTCAGGTCAGTATGCGCATCCAGGATCAAGTCTTGAATGGCAGCTGAATGGTTTTAGGCTTAACAGTTTGGCCAAACCTTATTATATTTCATTTCCAGAGCTTTGTTTCTCAGAATGAATAGAATCTAGTTCTATTGATCTTGCTGCCACTTCCAATTGCAATAGGACTCCAAATAGCTCCATGCAGTCATGCCGGCCACATGACCTTGGAGGTGTCTACGGATAACGCTGGCTCTTCGGCTTAGAAATGGAGATGAGCACCACACCCCAGAGTCAGACATGACTGGACTTAATGTCAGGGGACTACCTTTACCTTTACCTTTAATGCAGCACTATGCAGTACCTCTCATCTTCTGAAAAGTGCTAGCAGCCTCATGCTTTAGAAAATTGTAAAAGAAGAGTAGGAAGTAATGAGAAATTTAAAATGAACTCTAGGCATCTCTTTGAAAGGTTTTCACCCATATCTGTCATTCTAAAATCAAAAAGAGAAAAGTAAAGAGACAACAGATGTCTGTCTCAAAAGACAGAAATCGGTTAGAGCAGGGGTCCTCAAACTAAGGCCCAGATACGGCCCTCCAAGGTCATTTAAGCAGCCCTCGCTCAGGGTCAACCTAAGTCTGAAACGACTTGAAAGGACACAACAACAACAACCACAACAATCCTATCTCATCAGCCAAAAGCAGTCCCACACTTCCTATTAAAATACTAATGCAACACATACTTGTTAAAATTGTTCTTCATTTTAATTATTTATTGTTTTTATTTATTTATTATTGCAATACAAATCAGATATGTGCAGTGTGCATAGGAATTCATTCATGGTTTTCTTCAGATTATAATCTGGCCCTCCAAACGTTTGAGGGACTGTGACCTGGACCTCTGTTTAAAAAGTTTGAGGACTCCTGAGTTAGAGTATTTAAACGTTTTCAGGACTAATGGGCATCAGCACAGGTTAACACTGGAGAAACATTTCAGAGTTAATTCTGTATTTCCTTGATTTAAGATAATTCTATTTTGCACAGGAAATGATCCTAACATGCAGAATCACATGCCACTAAAATTATGCAAGATACAGAAGTATTTGTTCAACAGCATACAGGAAGTTGAGCAATTTAGATCGTGCTTGCATTTAACAAAAATGTGGGAGTTGGTTTTCCTCAGAAACATACCTCTTTTCCAGTGAATGAACACTGTAGTCAAAGAGCCTCTGTAACCATCATATCAAAATGCCTGAACTTCTGTTGAAGCACTTGGCTACACTGCAGGTACACAGCTTTGGTTTTGCCATTTCAATGGTTACAGACAGCTATGAAATTAATGACCAGAGATCACAGAGGGACAGAAAATCCAATGTGCTTTTCAAAAGTGCTCATAACCATAGACACTTGCCTTCTATGCAATGAAAAGTGATTGTGGATAGCTAAAAAGTGTTTATATTTTTTTCAAAGACAAACACTCCCTTGACATGGAACAATTATGATATCATTGCCCAGCAGAAAAATAAGATTAATATTTTGGAGTTACCTGTAAAAATGAAATAAATCTTCCCATCTGAATTTGGCTATCTCCTTCCACTTTACTAGAATCCATATCTAAAATGCAAACATGAAAGATACACTGGTGTTAGAAACCACAGCATTTATTGCCATCCATTAACATCAACTGTAAGCTGTTTTGTTTGTATCTTAAAACACATTTTATAAGAACAGCTCACTTGGAAATAATTTATCTTTCAATAAAATGTTACTGTTGCTGTGTACTCTGATACTTCCAGTTGACAATAAACTGTATCAGAGGTTCTTTCTATAAATATCACTTCAGACTTTTATGTGTTTTTTCAGTAAAGGTAACATACTGTCATTGAAATTCTGTTGGTTAGTCCCAATCAGAATGAACCCATTGAATCGGGTAAATCAAACTGAATTAAGTATGTGGAAAGTAACAAAATTGCTGAACAGTTTTTGAGTCATATCCATCAAAGGATAAAAGAAGTATAAGCTCTGATACAAGTAGCTAAACATTTTTATTGTTCTACTCAGAAAGATTTCCAGGGCACTAAAGCAATTTTTTTAGGGTTCACAAGAAGTTGCGGGGGGGGGGGGGGATGACTGCCAATGTCGGTGGAAGCAGCGAAATGTAGCAAAAGTAAACAACTGGATCTTGGCCAAAGCCAGGAAGGAACTGTAGCTAAAACAGTATCTCTTGCAGCTGGTACTATTCTTTCTCTACTTCCTGCCAGTAAGGCAACAAATCAGAAAAAGTCCCTTGTTTTTAGTTTTGGCAACGTATCATTATATCTTTCAAACAATATTTTAATAAAATTAGGGCATGACATTAAAAGCTACATCTTAAAGACATTCACATTTTAATGCAAAATTGTATTTGTTAAAATCTTTCTTTCTTGGTGAATACTAAAAGTAGCATAGTTGTTATACTGTTCACCAGCTTTACAGAAAAATCTGCTGTATGACCTCAGAAGGCCTTTTCCTCCTACAAAGCATGAATGAAGCAATCTTCAATAGATTATTCTGATTTCATTCATCCTACTGATGTGAGAAAAGAGACTCAAATTTCTCCATGAACCCCGAGGGATCTGGTCAGATGGCTGTCATCTTAGTCCAAACTATTTGGTAGTAACATTCTCTCAGTCCAAAACACAGCGTTAATAAAAAGGCTCTCATGGCTTACCCATCAAAGCACTACTATTATATTTTAACAAGAAAAGCTCTTGCTAATTTCCATACCAAGTCAAAGTTCTAAAATAGACATTGGTTCAAACATACAGTCTTCAAAATGCACACCATCAGTGACCCATGATTGTTCCTCAAAGACCTATCAGAATACACAATACCTATCTCTAACACCTTTACTGGAAATATATGGATTCAAAATTAAACATCATTTTTAATGTCAATTATGAATGCCAGTTTATTACCATCATTTGATCTCAATCAGAAAAGTTACTCAAACACCAAGCATCTTACTCATATAGGGAGGGAAGAAGACATTCTTCTTTCCTTATAGGAAACTATTGCAAACTTGGAAAATATTTCTTGGGAAGCACAAGACTCTTGTCAGTCTAAGAGAAGAATGTAGAAGCCAACAAGAGTTAAACACCTGCCTCCATCTGTCTGAACCCCTGTGACATTCAAAACCTGAGAAATCCATGTGCACATGTAGTTCCTCAAAAGCCCGTCACTTGATGCAAAACACACCACTTATAAGCTATTCTGCTCCCAAGTTCCAAAACATTGCACAGCACAATATTACTACACAATTTTCACATATTAGCATAACCAATAACTTACCTCCCTCTCCATAAAACAAGAGGCCATTATAAAATTTTGTTTCTGCCTGAGGACAAAAGCAGATATGTTTTTCTTTGAATAAGAAGTCTATAAAGGCTCAAGACAGAAAAAATATACAACTACATCTTAAAATTATAGCACGTGCAAAAATTCATTGTTAACTAATTCTATGCAATATTACCTCATACTTTAATGTTTTGATTTCACAGCACAGAGCCGCATACACAGTGATAACTTTGTTTAGGACCTGGGTAAATAAAACAAACACAGGTACAACATAATAGTAAAAATACAGGTGCATCAGAAGACAAGACTGAGAGAAGCATCAACACAGGCTTTACAAAAAGAGCAGTTTCATTTGGTTACTTTCCTCAATTATTTCATCCAGTCTGGACACTGTAATAAGTCTGTAATTCTAAAGACTGGTCCCTTGGTTTGTTTTTCTCTCTCCTCCCATCCCACCTCCTTTCCCTTTTTGTATAATGTCTTCCCGACCGCAATTTTTCAAATAGGAATGGTATGTAAATAGAGCATTCTGAGATCAAATGTGTAAATGCGCAAAAGATTTTAACATTATACTAGTGTCAACAAACAAATTTGTGAAAAGTACTTGGGATTTAATATCTTTACCTTGTTTTCTGTCTTTATGAGCTCAAGTAAGGAAGACTGTTCATAAGGCAAAAGCTAAAATCAAACAAAAACATGAGGTTTTTTAAGGAAAAGTGGAAGTCTGCTACATGACAAAGCAAACATAAAATACAGTCCTTTCATGTTGAGTATCAAGTGCAATTGCATAGGCATCTTTTTGTTGCTTTATGATGCTGGCAAGCAACAAAGATAACCAGTTCCCATCCTTGCAAAATGCTCTATTTTACTTCCCTGAGAAAACACACATGATTGAACTATGCAACCTTTCAAAAATTCATTGTAAAATCATACTGAATAAATGATGACTATCAAATGGAAATACCTAAGTGACTTACTCCATTTGTAAATAGGGTAATGGCTAGATATCCATAAAGGAAAGAAATGGGGAGGAGGCAGGCAATCTGCTTGTTTTTAAAGGCTCATGTGCACTATTAAAAGTGCAGTACGCCAGAAGCTTATTCAAGTAATATCCTTACATAATTAGGTTTTCATTCTAACAAGAATGTATGGCTACTGGAAAGCTTGCAACCAAGCAATTTTAATATATGAATAAGTTAGTCAAAGCATAAAAATGTGGTCTGATTATAAATAATTAGTAAAATAATCAGTAAACTATTGATTCTGCTTCCTTGGAGACTAGGACGCGGAGCAATGGCTTCAAACTACAAGAGAGGAGATTCCATCTGAACATTAGGAAGAACTTCCTGACTGTGAGAGCCGTTCAGCAGTGGAACTCTCTGCCCCAGAGTGTGGTGGAGGCTCCTTCTTTGGAAGCTTTTAAGCAGAGGCTGGATGGCCATTTGTCAGGGGTGATTTGAATGCAATATTCCTGCTTCTTGGCAGGGGGTTGGACTGGATGGCCCATGAGGTCTCTTCCAACTCTTTGATTCTATGATTCTATGATTATGGCCTGGATCCAGAGAAGCACCAAATGAATAAGTATTTTTATATGCATGGATGTACGGTCAGCCTTCTGTATCCATGGACTCTGCATCCATGGATTCAAAGTATCCACCTCCCAAAAATCTTTTAAAAACAAACCTTTGATTTTGCAATTTTATTTAAAATGACAAAATTTTATGATGCTATTGTCTTCAATAGGACTTCAGATCAACATATTTTGATATTCCTGGGGGTAAGTGGTGTTCTGGAACCAATGGCTCACTATAAATATATGGCAGTGTGAAGATAGTGTCTCTTCTTACAGCTTTTCTTTAGAGCTATTTTTAGTCTTTAGACATAATAGCAGAAAAAGCACAAAGATGCTTTTGATCTTATCTTTAGTGAATTAACCTTTGTTTAGTTAATTTGTACTACTTTGTTGTACATATTTTTTTTAATTGGGGAACTAGTATCAGCTCTTGACCAGACCATCAACAACCTGGTAACAGTCAGCTTTGCAAGCCCCTCCCTGCTTCCTTCAGGCTCTTTCAAGACCAGGATGCTTTGAGTGGAAGCCAAGAAAGGAAAAGTTTAAGATAGTGATCTTACATCTTCAGTTTTTACTTATTGTATTTTTATGTGGTGTTGTTTGTGTTTGTGCATGTTTTGTAATTTTAAAAGTTTATGTATAGCACAGAAAATATTGTACATATGTATGTGATAAAATTAAGTCTATGGCTCTGTTCAGGAAAAATAATAACTACCACAGACAACTGTAAAAACAAATAAATGGCCTGCTTCTTACTACCTCTTCGAAAACCATGGGGGTGCTAAACATTTTGGCTTCAATTCTACACATAGTCATGTGGCGATCCCACTGCTACCAATGTGCTTACATGTATACAGCCACTATTTGTACTATTAATACTTCTTTCAGGTTCCAAGCTCTACAAATTAAAAGATAATGTTTCCCCATCTTATTCTGTCTGGACCTAATAAAATCCAATGGGCTGACATAAAGGAATCATTGTCAAGAAGAATCCAAAATTAAATGAAGACTCATGTATGAATATTAAATTCAAACCTACATTTAATGCAATAGGATCAAGATTGAAATCCCAAACATCTCCTACGGAATCATCCAACGCATCTTCAATTCTCTTCAGCTGGGAAGTGTATGCAGTAAGAAATTTCTCATAATTCTTCAACTGCACTTCAACATGGATTTCTAAAAATAAATAGTATAATTCTCACTTTTTCAAGAAACAGAAAATGGGCTGTATTAATGCATTCCCACAACTTTATCTTTCAGTGCTATAAGCTGAAATTGACCTCACTACAAAGGATCTTTCTGTCCCAAATTGCAAGATTTTACATAGGTATACATCATATTACACAAAAAGCAGATGGTGAAATGTCATGAATATAGGCACTCATGTTTAACTAGTCACTGTAACTATTTTTTTCTGGCATGTTTTCATTACTATATGACCCCAGTATTCTCAGGACCAGTACCCAGTTTCACCTACCCGCATCCAACAAGATATTTCTCTGGATTGTTTTAGTTCTGCACTATGCTTCTTCTAGAAGTTACCAAAGAGTTGCATTGGAGGACATCAAATGATCTTCCAATAAAAATATGCAAATTGGCAGGGAATTACAAACAAACTAATGTAACACTTTTTAAAATGAATAAACAATGAGGGAACAAGAGATTTAGATAAACTACTTGATAGTCTACCACAGAACACTGATAAAAGGATGAATCAAAAACATTTGACTATCCTTAGTAAAAATGATCAAAAGAAGGATAACATTTATCCGGTAGGATTTATTATTGACAAAGCCACACTGGCTTCTACTAACTATTGTTGTGCAAGGGTATGAAAATGCTTACAAACTGACTCATTTATCATCTATTCTAATATTCTCTGTGGTACCGAAGTCAAATCAACAGGTCATGAGCCTCCAATATCCTTCATTTTAAAATACTGTTCTATAACATCTGCCTATCTTTAGTCCCATGACTCTTCATTTGTTTTCTCACAGACAACAGACAGATATTTCGAGAGCACAAGCTATTTCATTTACTACCCTCAGTACTCGATTCATCCTCACCAGTTACCTTATTTCTGAAGTTCTCTTTTTAGAGGGGGGGGGGGAACAGACAAAAAAGATTTGAGTAGTTCACCCTTCTTTTCCGTCACTCACTTTAGCATTCACATTAAGTAGTAAGTCTTGCTCCCATTCTCTTCCACAGAACATACCCTCCCCAAAAAAACCCCAAACCATTTTCTTCATCTTAGTACTGCTTGTTAGATTCAGCTCATTCTGTATTTTAGGTCCCTGAACACTATTCCTAGAAGTCTATTCCTTAGTTTCCTCATAACACTTCTACAATTATACCTTCAGATACACAAGTACAAGTCTAGCACAGTTCTCTATGATAGAAAAAGCATTTGGGATGCAGTTACAACTCCATAAAATAGTAGTCAGAAGGGCCCCTCTAAGTGTCTTCTAGATAGCTTGCTGATGATGCAACCAAACATTTTCACATGTTTGAATACTCAGAACTGGGCATATTACTCTGATCAGGCAAATGAGATGCCAAGATTGAAAAGTTAATCCTATCCCTGGAATTAAAAATTATATGGTTTAGATTACCATAAGAGAAAGCAATCACTCCATGACGGTTTTATTAGGTTTGACAGTTCACACTACGCCTAAAGCTGAATTTTTCAAACAGCAGTTTATATTACAGTAATTTTTGAGATCATTAAAATATTAACAAAATAACTGTACGTGATACTAATTTAAAAGAAAGTTTCACAAGTGACTAATTCCATTTCTGACAGAGGAAGGCTAAAGGAAGGAGTAACAGCAGGAATAAACATTGTGTCTAAGAGGAGAAAAATCCACTTAATGGAAAATCACAGAATAGAAACACCAAGGTTTGGAGTGGGAAACTGTAGTGAATGAAAGGGATGATAAAAACAAACGATTCCAGGAATAAATTGGACTGTTTTAAAAAGATGAAGTGAAACAGAAACTGACAAAGAGGAAGGAAAGCATTACTATCACCAGGGAATTTGTTTGTCAGAGAGAAGACAACTTCAACAGAGAAGAGGAAAGGGCATTTAGAGGAGCCATGCTACAGGCAAACAATAAAGGCAAAGAAGTTTGCTGCAGTCAGTAGAAAGTTACAACAGACAGATATAATTGAATGTGCTCATTCAGCAGATTAAAGCTGGATCTACACTGCAAAATAACACAATTTGTACTGCATTATATGGGTCTACTGACCATATAATGCAGTTCAAACTACATTATTTGGCAGTATAGATTTAGTTCTATGCCTTTAAAAAATTTTTAAAAGAGATTTGAATACCCACTATGGCTCTAAATATGGTAAGTAAATGAGTTTATCAGTCTCAAACTGGTGACAGCTATTGCCAGCAATGATAGCTTGGAGTGAGATAATTCTGACCACCCTCACAATGCTTGATACCAACTTGCTTCAACTTCAGTCAACATGAACAAAGATCATGGGTGTTGGGAACTGTGATTCAACATCATCTGCATGATCATAGGTTCCAAACTGTTTGAATGGATGATGTATGACCAGGCAGGGGGGATCGAAGTTGGATGGACTTCCTGGATGGAAGTTGAGGTAGATCCATCTTAATAGGACGACTGACCACTGTAGTTTTATATATAGTGTTTTTAAAGTTGTTTTTGTAATTGTGATATATGATATTTTAATGAGTGTATATGTTTTTATGGCTGGAAACCGGGCTGAGTCCCTTAATGAGGTTGAGAAGCTCGGTATAGAAAACTGTGAAATAAATAAATAAATAAATCGTTCATCCACTATTCCCTATTTAAACGGATGAGAAAACCAATTTTCTCCACATTATGGCGGAACTACTTGCCACATCAAGTTCTGTACTCACAACCACAATCCACACTTACAATTCCCACTTTGCTTCACTCATCCTCCATTACACAACCAGAAAGGGCTTTACAATTTTAATTGCAGTAAGGATGGTTGAAGCATTTTAAAGGTGATTTTAGCATCTTTTCCAATGCAGGAGCTTTAATTAACATAATAGTTGAAATAACGGAAACAGACAGCGATGGCTAACAAATTAATACATTAAAAACAGGGTTATTTATAGAAAAAGAAACTGCTTTCAAAATAATTACTGACATTTTTACTCTTTCATAACTATGCTAGTCTCTTGAGATAGAAACAAGTGGCTACTAAAAAAGCTAACAAATGTACATGCCACAAACTTTGGCAGGCCATAAAAAACTAGCCCTTAGTTCCCAAAGCCTTAGCTATTGTCTCCAAATACTAACCTTTCAAGACAAACCACACAGAACCAAAAAAAACCAGAAACGCAAAGCACAAATCATACGCCAAGAATTCAAAATTTAAAATGGGAGATTTTTTTTTTCCAGTGACAACAAACTATACGCAAGACTTGACATGGAGGCCTTTAAATGCTTGCATGCCTTTGTGACAGGAATATATATTGGGGGGGGGGGGGGGGGGAGATCCCTTATCCAAAAAGCTTAGGGCTAGAAGCTTCAGGGATTTCTCCCCAGATTTTGGACTAGCTGTATTTGCATCTACATACATAATGAAATATTTTGGAGATGGAACACAAGTTTTAACAACTCTTATGTCTCATAGACATCTTGTGCATATAAACTTAAGGAAATTTTTAGACAATATTATGAAATTTTATGTGCATGAAATAATTTTTTACATTTGTAGATATGAGAACCTAAATCTAATAAAATTCATTTATATATCAGAAACAAATTATATACTCTGAAGGTAATTTTAGACAATATTTTAAATTATTTTGTGCATAAATCAAACTTTGTGTATACTAAAATATCAGAAAGGAAAGGTGTCACTATCTCAGCCACCCATGTGGGCAATTTTGGAGTATTTCGAATGAGCAACTAAAATAAATAAATTATTTAATAAAGCGTTTAGCGCATTTTATTTATTTATTTATCTGCCTCTTTTCATGGCTCGAGGCAGGATATACCACAATTAATAATATAATAAAATAAAAATTTATTTATATCCCGCTCTATCTTCCTGTGGGGACCTCTGGGCCGTTTACAACAAGTTGTGGCAAACATTTAATGCTGTACTAAACAAAGGATGAACTAACTGAAACCACCCAAATCATACCCAACATCCACACCAAAATAAAAATGAAGGCAGCACCAAACTTTAGACAATGACATAACTGTTGGCTATAGCAACTTTCTTCAAGCCTCCACTAGTAATTTGTTTTGTGTATGATTCTGTTTGTTTACTGTATTGTATATGTATGTTTTGGTATACAGCTTTCCCTTTACTCTATGTTTCTTGAGGTTGTGGGAAGGGCTGCAGACCACATGATCAGACCTAAGACTGCTCAGACTCCATTTCAGAGGAGAGACACCATTAGACTTTGGACCGTTAAGAGCAAACTCATGTTGCTGTTGATTGTAAGAAAGATGCCCTGTGTTATCAGAACAGAGAAACCACTTCAAATCCATCTGTAACAGAATTGACAAGTTATGTACCGCCAGTATGCTGAATACATGAAGGTTGTGAGTAAACCAAATATGTTTCTTTTAACTAAGTCTACTTTATTTTTGTCTCTTGAGAGAATGGGATAGAAACAAGATAATTTATAGGAAAGTAGATGTTTTGGGGCACTGGGGGACCCTTCCACATGGCTGAATAAAATCCCACATTATCTGCTTTAAACTGGAATATATGGCAGTTTGAACTCAGAGAACCCAGTTCAAAGCAGGTATTGTGGGATTTTCTGCCTTGATATTCAAAGGGCCCTTCCACACAGCCCTATATCCCAGAATATCAAGGCAGGAAATCCCACATTACCTGAGTGTGGACTCAGATAACCCAGTTCAAAGCAGATATTGTGGGATTTTCTGCCTTGATATTCTGGGATATAGGACTGTGTGGAAGGGCCCTCAGATAATTGAGGCCCCTTCCACACAGTTGAATAAAATCCCACAATATCTGCTTTGAATTGGAATATATGGCAGTGTGGGCTCAGATAACCCAGTTCAAAGCAGATATTGTGAGATTTTCTGCCTTGATATTCTGGGATATAGGGCTGTGTAAAAGGACCCTCAGTTATCAGTCTAACAACTGAAAAGCAAATTGCCTCACATAAGTAAATGTGGTTATATACCAGTAAAGAGAAGATTTTACTCAAACAAGGTTTTTTGGCACTTCTCTGGACAATTATACTTTTACAAAAGGTTATGATTTCTACATGATTGTGAATGCCATTTTTCTCCAAAAGGCTATAAAGATTCTGGTTTTTCAAATATAAGTTGTGTTTTCACAGTTAAACATCAATAACAACACAGATAAATGCATATATTAAAAGACATAGAGATTAAAATGTGACTGGTGGGGATGAGGGACAGGGCCTTCTCATCAGTGGCCCCCTGCCTCTGGAAAGCTCTCCCCAGAAACATCAGAATTGCCACCTCCCTCCTGTCTTTTAGAAGAAAAATCAAGACCTGGCTTTGAGACAAAGTGTTCAATTACTGAGCAGCTAAAAAAGAAGATTTTAACACTTATGGCAATGATTTGACCTGGACTGGATTTTAGACTCTGATTTTAATAGGTGTGTTTTAATCAATTGTTTTAATTACTTTTTTAATATTTTTTAAATATTTTAATGTATTGTTGATTGTTTTATTATTATTACACCGTATGTTGTCGAAGGCTTTCATGGCTGGAATCACTAGGTTCTTGTAGGTTTTTTCGGGCTATAGGGCCATGTTCTAGAGGCATTTCTCCTGACGTTTTGCCTGCATCTATGGCAAGCATCCTCACTACCTCTGAGGATGCTTGCCATAGATGCAGGCGAAACGTCAGGAGAAATGCCTCTAGAACATGGCCCTATAGCCTGCAAAAACACACCGTATGTTGTTTGTGAGGCCACTCTGAGTGAGGGGTGAGAAGGGTGAGGTATAAATATAGGAAATAAATAAATAAAAACACATTAAAATCATGCACATCAATAAAATGTAAACTTAAAATAGGCACATATGTTGCTGGAATGGCTTCATTTCTATCATCCTTTCCTTTCCTTTCTTTAAGAGAGGTGGGAACGAGATGTGGACCCTGAAATTCAGCCTTTATAACCTTTAGCCACCTTGACTTGGGTGGAAAATGGTTTCCTTATTGAGTTATCTCATTGGTTATTTTGAGCACGTCCTCGCCTGCATCTACACTGTAACATTAACAGAGTTTGAGACTGCCATGGCTGGATATACTATGGGATCCTGGGAATTGTAGTCTGGTATGGAATTGGCACGACTTGGCAAAGAAGGCTAAAGACCTTCTAAAAAGCAACAACTCCCAGGATTCCTGAGCACTGAGCCAGGGCAGTTGAAGTGGTGTCAAACTGCATTAATCCTGCAGCGTAGATGCACATACTTCCCAATCGCGCCCTAAGAAGGACCCAGGTGGTGATTGACAGATCCCCGGGTCACGTGGGGTGCAAAAGGTTCGAAGTGACTGCGGGGGGGGAGGGGGGCTCCACCTGGCTGTGAGAGAAGGGGGGAAACCTTCATTAGTCGTCTACAAGACCGCTGTTTCTCCGCCTGCCCTCCATTCCCTTCCCTTTTCTCTTACTCTGAGAGCCGTCGTCGACACGGTCAAACTCCCAGTCCGGCGAGAGCGTCTCCAGCGCCATGACAAGCCCTCTCACCCCACAGCAGCAGCGGCGGCGCAGCCTCTCTCCCCTCGTCAGAGTGAAAGGCACGAG